TTATCAGCACGGAGTTGGGCCACTTCTTCACGTACCACCCGGCCTAGGCGATCTGAGAGGGCCTCGAAGTCAGTCTTCGTTAGGAGGTTGGGCAGTATATCCCTCCATCCATCCTCCTGCAGCATCTGAGGTTCGGATGCATAGGATAAGGCAGGTGAGTGCCTGGCCGGAGTGGATGGAGTGGAGTCCGGCGCTTGGTTTGCGGCCTCCATTTCCGGCTGTGGGGATTGTGCGCGGGTAGTGGGTTGCAGATAGGACCTTATTGTGTGGTCCCCTCCGGGACCCGCGGGCCTCGGGGTGCCTCCCGGGTCGGTAAGCTTCTTTGTGCGGCCCATTTGTTGTGTGCAGCGAGCGGGATTAGCGGGTTGCTTGCGGCTTGGATGCGGGCGCCACGAGGAGCTCCGGGTTCACACGTCCATCTTGGTCGGCTGCCGGACACGCCCCCTCCCATGATGCTTTGCATGCTTTTAGAATGACAAAGGATCATGAAAGAAAAACATCTGGGATCTACCTTTTTCAGCACCTCTGCCCTAAACTCATACCCCATCCTCAAGGACGTCTCTGTCATGCAGAAAGCTTGCTTTCTCTTTGAACTGTACAGGTGTGCATGTAGGCATAAGTTGCTAAAGTCGGAATCAAGTATGGAGCAATTTTGCACTCACAGACATTCTGTAGCTTCTGCAACTAGGCTGGGGTGCACTGTACTTTGTAGCCAGCCATTTTTTTGATCCCATAATGGGGACTGAGCAGTTAAAATAAGTCAGACTCAAGGCCCTTAAATGTAATATCAACAAAAGAAACAAAAATATAATAAACAAAAGAGAAAAAAACTCCAAGAGGCAAATAATTATCCACATAAATTCCTGAGAAAAACAACCAAAAAACAGTAGCACCAGACATTAGACCAACCGTTCTTAATCTTAACTAAAAACACACAACATCTCCAGCAACTAACAGGATTCCGACAAGAATAGGCACCAATGTGCCAAGAGAAGAGACAACTGTAACTAGCCTCAGGAGAACTGCTTCTACCAGAGGGATCTGAAATAGAGGCTAATGAGGTGTCAGGAACCAGAGAAACCAAGACCTTAAACAGACCTGCAAGATCTCTCCCTGGCTAATAGGCACCCAATATAGCTGACCAGAATGCAAAGACTAATGCTGAATAACCAGCTGTCTCAGCCTGAATATAACGGGAACATAATCCATATTAATTCTCCTTGACCTCTCTACTGCCTTTGACACCGTTGATCATGCTCTCCACCTTCAAACTCTTCAATCGCTCAGTCTCTGGGACTCTGTCCTCTCTTGGTTTTCCTCCTATCTCTCCCAACGCTCATTCAGTATCTCCTTTCCCAAGCATACCGCCTCACCTCTTCCTGTCTTGGTTGGAGTTCCCCAAAGGCTCTGTGCTTGGTCCCCTTCTATTTTCTCTTTATACTGCCTCTCTTGGCAAGCATATTGACTCTTTTGGATTCAACTACCACCTGTACGCTGATGACACCCAGCCATACCTCTCCTCCCCGGACCTCTCCCCTGCCGTCCTGCAACGTGTCACTGCTTGCCTTTCTTCCATCTCTGACTGGATGTCCTCACACTTTCTGAAACTCAATCTCTCTAAAACTGAACTCCTTGTCTTTCCTCCTCCTAATACTGATCCTCCTCTCTCGTTCTCCCTTCAAGTCAGTGATATCCACATAAGTCCATCCTTGCAAGCACACTATCTTGGCGTCATACTTGACTCTGGCCTCACATCCAGTTTGTTGGCAAATCCTGTAGGTTCCAACTCAAAAACATAGCCCGCATCCGCCCCTTTCTTACGCAAGATGCGACCAAAAAGCTTGTCCATGCTCTAGTAATTTCCCGCATGGATTACTGTAACTCTCTCCTGATTGGTCTCCCCAAAAGCCGTATTGCCCCGCTACAGTCTGTAATGAATGCTGCAGCTATACTGATTTTCCTCTCTAGTCGGTCCTCTCACACATCACCCCTCTGCCAGTCCTTACATTGGCTCCCTGTATCCTATAGGAGTCAATTCAAAGTGCTAACCCATACATTTAAAGCACTGAACAATTCTAGCCCCTCTTATATCTCCTCAATGATCCATAGGTATGCCCCTCCTCGTTCCCTCTGCTCTGCCCGTGACCACCTCCTGACCACTGCTCGCACCCGTACAGCCAACTCGCGCTTGCAGGACCTCTCACGGGTGGCTCCTTTTCTATGGAATAGCCTGCCTACCGCCATCAGACTCTCCCCTAGTCTTCAATCATTTAAGAAGAGCCTTAAAACCCATCTCTTCAGTAAAGCTTATGGCCTCCCAGAGTAACCTCTACCTTACATACCTGTCTCTTGCTCTCTCCTGTAGGGCAGCACTCTACCCCCTCCTCCAGCTAGGCTTCACTCCCACCCTATTTGAATTTTCCTGTCCTAACGTGTCTTATACCCCACCTCCTATAGACTGTAAACTCGTTTGAGCAGGGTCCTCTTCAACCTATCATTCCTATAAGTTTTCTTGTAATTGTCCTATTTAAAGTTAAATCCCCCCTCTCATAATATTGTAAAGCGCTACGGAATCTGTTGGCGCTATATAAATGGCAATAATAATAATGGAAATTAATCCAACAATGAACTTGTAAGGACTTACCTAAGGCTATAGATGTTCCAAGCTGTCACCATAGGATTTCTACAGCAAAGCCTCAGGTTGCTAAAGGGGGAACCTGCAGGGGATCACCCTTGGTGAGGTGCTGTTTACTGCAGCTTCCATAGGAGAGAAGCTGAACTCCATTTGGGCCAAGGAACTAACTTATTCCTGGTAAGCCACAACATTGAGATTAAGTGGTCTGGTTGCCTATAGTGTCCCTTTATTAATGTTTGCCTATTCATTGAAAGAAAATAAAACATTTGCAAGTCAAATTATACCACTGTCCTATGATAACTTCCAAATTCCACAAAAAAACATATGTGACTTATTACAACATAAGATGATGCATAAAGTGGCTATGGACTCTGGGGAGAGCACTTGGATGGGCAGCCCGAGCAAGGTGTCCTGAGATCTTCTCTGCATCATATGATAGATGTGCTACAAAGGGTCAGGCAATCCCAGGGATCATGCATTCTCTTCTGTCTGACTTCCTGTACCCTGCTCTGTGCCAAAGCTGTTATCAGCTGGGACCCCTGCTCCCACAGGTGTCAAAGAAGGCATGGAACATAAATTGAAGCATTCATAAAATATCTTCTGAGGCCGACAGGGTAAGGATGGTGTTACTATAGGGTACCACGAGAGTTCCCGATGCTCCCCATCAGTATCTGATGCTGTGTTTGCGTAGTAACCAGTCTAAATTGTCGTCCTTTGGGATTCAGAATGCTGATCGTATAAGTGGAGATCCACCATCATCCCTCAACTCCAAAGAGTGTGCCACACTATAAGCAAAGGCCAGCAGGGCCTCCAGACCAACTGTTTCTGGAGCTCCACAGATCTGGACATATCACCGTCGATGCCGCACCTCAAGATAGTGAAACCTGTTGGCTAACTTTGTCTACGTGGGATTGAGTTTTCTTAAAGCGGCCCTCGTGTTCACCTCTCTGGACTCAGTAACGCCAATACGGCGTTGTAGACCTCCTATCTCCTTCAGCACCACTGCCAGATCCGCCTTCCAGACCTCTCTCAGGTCTAGTGAAAGCTTCTTTAAAGTAATTTCCCAATAGTGGAGGGAGAAGTATCTGCATTGGACTCTGTTCTCTGGTAAACTCTGCTAGAGGCCTGTAAAACAGTTGGTCTCTCTTTGTCCTGGGATGAATCTGATTCACTAGAGTCACGCTGTACCCCAGGTGCCATCTTAGACTGGGCCTGCCGTTGCGGCCTGTCAAAGAACAGTTGGATATCAGTCAGCCGATTTTCTATGCTTTCATCCCATCTCTTTGCTAGAAGGTAAAATGTAGTTTCATCACTGCTATCTTGCACTATATTTGTGGCCAAAAGGTCTTATTAACCAGTATATGGAGTCGGAACTTCTCGCAACACATCTGTTCAGTCAAAAGTTACTTTTTTTAAAACGAACATTATAGTGTTAGGAATACAAAACCCTTTCTTCACTCCTCGGCACTGAATCCATCTCCTCTGACATTATTAGGGAAACCTAATGCACATTCGTGGCGAGCGCTTTAGAGTTCCGCCATAGGAAAGCATTGAGGATGTCCAACATTGTTTCATGGACTTAAACTCTGTAAAAAATGCATCAAGCACCTCTAGTGGCTGTCTGGAAGATATAATAACAGAGTTTAAATGATCAAATTCAACTCTTTGCAGATATTTTGACCTAACGCACCATTTAGTGAATAATCACTACATGTATAAAAAATAAATAAACTTTTGCATGAATCTTTTCCTTTATCAATGTATAACCTGTAGTTTTATGTTTGAAATACCCTGTGACCTCTAGTCTACTGTTGAAAGAAATAGACGCGTCATAAAAAATACTTTATGAATTTGAATATAATAAAACACAAGTGTGGGAAAAAAAACATTTTGAGGAATGTTTAAAGATATAAAAGTTTCTTTTTTTTTAATCAATCTTTATAAAGTTTTCATTTGTTTTTTAATACAAACAAAGGTTTTCCCACGCTGTGAAAATAACAGAGCATTAGTATGTGTGAAAAGATACACAGTATCATGCAAACAGTATTCAAAACTGTCAATATAAAGATAATTTAGTGCCAGAATATTGTGTAAAGGGCCGACGCTAAGCCTATTTCACTAAGAATAACTTTAAATAGGAGAAAGAGGGACGGGGGAGGAGGCACCCCATGTTAGGAGGCAGCAAGAAGAGAAGTAGGTTAGAAGGAGAGAAGAGGTAGGGAGGAGACCACCGTTCCTCTCTGTGGTTACCCCACTCATGCCAGATGATCCTCATGGATGTATTAAAACCAAGGGTCCAGGTAGAGCCATACCACTCTTGTCTCTGGTACAGGGAGACAGTCATATCCGTCATTCTTCTTATTTCCTCGACTTTCCCTAAAAACTGTTGGAATGCTCTTCCAGAGGACCAGGATCAGGATTTTAGAAGCTTTCAAAAAGTATTTTAACAAGAGATTTTTTGTAGAGCCAGATGTTAGTTGTGCGGTAAAATGAAGTAGGTACTCTGCAGGGTAGAATAGTGGAGGAGAGTGGAAGCCCCATTAGAACATCACTATTTCTGAACACTCCAACCATACATACAACAGACTTCCTCTGCCTGTAGCGCAGCGCCAATAAGAGCTAGACTGATTTCAATAAATTGCGTGTAACAGTTTGGGGGTTCTGTACCATCCTTAGAGGAGTTTGTGCTTGGCCTTCTATGTTTGAGCAGATGATGATGATGCCCACTGTTTATCGCTGAGAACCTGCCCCAGTGAATCCTCCCAGAGGCACGTGTACTCGGGTGGAGGTAAATTGTCGTTCAGTAAAAGCAGGTTACATAATTTAAAGAATCCTCTTTGGAATCTCTCACTCAGGAAACACTCACTGGAAGGACGCTTGCTGATCCTCCCATCAGTGTACTGACTGAACAGAATGCTGCAATTAAAGGTAATAAAAGTAGGTAATTGATGTGGAGTAAAGGCTGACCCGTAAGTGCAGCTAAACTTTTTTAGGCTGTCAATAGCAAAAACATTTGAAATGGAGAGTGGGTGAGGAACCCTGTGGCTGGGCACGGGAATCTGAAAGGCAGGAGTATGCCATATCAGTGAAACACATGTGAAGGGTTGCACCTGTAAGTGGGTGTTGGATTGCCTCTGTGAGGGCACCACTTTCTCCAGTCATAGGACAGGGAGAATAAAAGTTTCTTAAAGGGACAGTCTAAGCACCAAGATCGCTTCATCAGTTTGAAGAGAATTTGGATCACAGATGCTGTCCTTCAAAGTTAACAAATGAAAATAGTGCTTTTTCTGTATGATTTACATTATGCATTTTCCACTCCTACAAGCAGCCAATAGGGCCTTCCAACACATAGATTCACTTATTGATTTGACATCCAGCGTCAGCATGCAGCACACGCTGATGCCAGATGTTGTGTTTCCTGTTGTCTGGACTCTTGGAGGCACTCCAGAACCTTTTCACAGCTTTTTATTGATATCAAAAGATAAAAAAAAAACAGTTATCTGCTCATCATTTCAAATCCCTATACAGGGCCAGTGCAAGGACTTCTGTCTACACAGACGAAGACACATTTTGCTGCCCCCAAAATTGTCTTCACCTGTCTTTCTAATATTCCCCCTTGTGCCCCTCTTACCCTATTTTGTGCATTTTGCCACCTTTTTCTTTCTTGTTTTCCCTTTTTGTATATTGAATCCCCTGTTTGGCATTCTTTTTTTAATGTTTTTGTGTCTTCATCCTACTTTTCTTAACCCCCTTGTGTCACACACTCACTCGCTCTTACACACACACACACTGCTTATACACACACTGGCCATTACACACTCACACACTGACTCTAACATACACACACTGCTTATACACACTCACTAGCTCTAACACACACACACACACAGTCTCTTACACACATGCACTGCTTATACACACTCATTGCATACACACACACTGACTCTTACACACACTCACTGGCTCTAACATACACACACACTGCTTATACACACTCACTGGATGTAACACACACACACAGAGTCTCTCACACACACAGTGCTTTCCACACTCACTGGCTCTAACACACACACAGTCTCTTACACACACACTGCTTATAGACACACACAGGCTCTAACACACACTATTACACACACACTAACTCTTACACACAGACTTACTGTTTCTAATAATAGCTAAACAGACGTCCCGCTGCACTGTAGTAGCTTTCCTCCGCTCTCCACAGCAGTTGGCCGCTGGGATATGATGTCACGTATCCCAGCGGCCTTTAGCTCAGGGAGAGATTGGCCGCAGTCACTCCTTGCTTCTCCACCCCCCTCCCTCAGTGGCTGCACGTTCCCCCCCCATCTCACAGCCAGCTGGGTAAATTGCTGCAGAAAGTGACCAGTGGCAGCGGAGTTCTCCATGCTCCCGCCGGTCACTCAGAAATTTTTGTGCCCCTCTGGTCGGTGCACCCATATGTTCTTTTTTTTTTTAAAAAAACATTTTTATTGTGAATGCATGGTAATAGAATATAGCACGAGTGACGTTATCATTTATGCTTTTAAGCTGTTATTGTGCAGCATTGACTCAGGAAGCACCTCTAGTTGCCGTCTGAGTGACTGCCACTAGAGGTGTTACTAGGCAGCTATGTAAACACTGCCTTTTCTCTCAAAAGACAGTGTTTCCATTAAAAATCTTCCAGGGACAGGCTGTAGACACCAGAACAACTACAGGGTGGCCCATAAGTCCCTACCCATTCATATATCTTATGTATCCAGTGTATCTGTATACTGGATGAGTAGAGACTTATGGGCCATGTACATTATGTACATTAAGCTGTAGTTTTCCTGGTGACTATAGTGTCCCTTTAATAGGGAACACATAGTTCGAGTGGCAGCACTGTAACATAGCTGTGTAACACAAAAGTGTTTAGAGTGTCCTTTAAAATTAAAGGCAGGGTGTATTTAGATTTGGATTTCTCTAGTTTTAAAGTATTTGAATAAATGAATGAATAATTAAACGATGTGGTGATTTTTGCATCTCAGAGTTTTACGGTGTCCCCTGGTTTTGTTGAAGGAGCAGGTGTTACTTTCTTAAAGTGCACTTTTTAAAATGTATTTATTTATTTTAGTTAACTAGGATTTGTTTCCAAAGTAATTATAAACCCGCCAATCCTGAAAAAAACAAAAAGGAATCTTGAAAAACCAATTCTGTCCGTACAACTGGTTGTCCTAACAAAAGGACCAATCCTAGTCTCTGACTATGCCCTATCTAGAAAATCTAATTATACCAGCATGATGATTCCAATCTCAATTTTCTCCAGAAAAGCAGATTATCTCAACTCCACCTCTGGGCCTGAAAACACCCCTTATAATACAGAACTGGATTGGAGAGTCCCTGACACTTGTTGTCAGTTCTCGCAGTTAGTTGTACATCTTCTGACTTCTGTGTGTGTTCCAGAAACAACAACCTTTGTTCTGTGTCTTTGAAAACATTACCTCAAGTTGTGTTTACGCAGAACATCCTGGCCGTGGTTCAAGAGGGCTGCGAAACTCACAATCAACATGAATCTGCCAAAGGTAATGGGGACAGAGTTCCTGTCAGGAATACCGACTGCTGGTGATTATTTTACCAGACAGTTTGGGAGTTATTTACTAAAGTGAATTTTAAATTCAAGGCAAAAACAGCCAAACTGGAAACATTCTCTAAGTTACTTCTGCTCTCAGTTTGGCTACTTTGGTCTTAAATTTGAAATACACTTTAAAAATCACTTTGAATTCTTACTTCAGTGAAAAACTTTAGTATTCTATTCTATTATATTCTATTCTATTCTGTGCAGGGTGAATGACCAGTCTCTGGCAGATTAATACTGCATTGCAAGCTTACTCCCTCCTGCTCTTCACTGGTCTGGTGCTATTTGAACTTAGAAAGTTAAAGATTTTCCTACTAGTGTGTCATAGGTAAAATCACTGCTTCAAAAAAGGTAATTTAATAAAGAATATCCTTTAAGTCCTTAAGATCCTTTTTTATTTCAGTTTAAATGTTAATTCCCAAAACTCTGAGGATCTGATTAGTGGGTGTTTCAGCGCTGTAAGGTGACTTTATAGAGAGGGTTATCAAAGGGTTAATAATTTAGAAAGCCTTTTGGCCAGCTAAAACGTGAAGAGTATACAGTGATATCATTCCTTTATCCAATTCATATCATACACTTACCTAGTACTTAGCTTCATGAATTGAACAAAATACATATTTTAAAATAATTTTTTTGGAGGTCATTTGTGTAATTGTATACATTGTGACAGCATGACAAATAATAAAAGTGTGTAGACTAATGTGATATACAGATGTAACTACTATTCTTAATGTATGACCTGTACTGAAAGGAGTCCTGTGTTATATATACACACAATGTAACTAGTGCACCCATTGTGCCTCAGTCAGCTGTGTAACATGTGCTAAGTACACCCGTTAACGCTATATAAATAAAATATACATACACTGTATAACTGCAGCACTTACTGTACCTCTCTCTACAGTGGTATAACGTGTAAAGTGCTAAGTACACCTGTTAACGCTATATAAATAAAATATACATACACTGTAAAAATGCAGCACTTACTGTACCTCTCTCTACACTGGTATAACGTGTAAAGTGCTAAGTACACCCGTTAACGCTATATAAATAAAATATACATACACTGTAAAAATGCAGCACTTACTGTACCTCTCTCTACATTGGTATAAGTGTAAAGTGCTAAGTACACCTGTTAACGCTATATAAATAAAATATACATACACTGTAAAAATGCAGCACTTACTGTACCTCTCTCTACACTGGTATAACGTGTAAAGTGCTAAGTACACCCGTTAACGCTATATAAATAAAATATACATACACTGTATAACTGCAGCACTTACTGTACCTCTCTCTACACTGGTATAACGTGTAAAGTGCTAAGTACACCCGTTAACGCTATATAAATAAAATATACATACACTGTATAACTACTGCATTTACTGTACCCCATCTAGTATATTGTAACACGTAACGTGCTAACTACACCTGTTAACACTATATAAATTAAATATATAGTAATATAGATACTGTACTTACTGTACCCCCACCCCGTAATGTAAACTATAAAGTGCTAAGCACTCCTGTTAACACTATATACATAAAATATACATACACTGAATAACTACTGTGCTTGCTGTATCTCCCCTGTACTATCTTGTAACACGTAAAATGTACATCTGTTAATGCTAAGTAAATAAAATATACATATACTATACTGTATAACTACTGCTTTAATAGAACCTCCCGTTACTGTTGTGTGACCTGTAAAGTGATGTGTACAATAATGATATATGAATGATAGACAGATAGACAGTCAGACAGATAGACAGTCAGACAGATAGACAGTCAGACAGGCAGATAGACAGTCAGACAGATTGACAGGCAGACAGACAGGCAGACAGTCAGACAGATAGACAGGCAGATAGTCAGACAGATTGACAGGCAGTCAGACAGACAGACAGACTGACAGGCAGACAGATTGACAGGCAGTCAGACAGACAGATTGACAGGCAGTCAGACAGACAGACTGTCAGGCAGACATGCAGACAGATTGACAGGCAGTCAGACAGATTGACAGGCAGTCAGACAGACAGACTGACATGCAGACAGTCAGACAGATTGACAGGCAGTCAGACAGATAGACAGACAGATTAACAGGCAGTCAGACAGATAGATAGACATGCAGACAGTCAGACAGATTGACAGTACAATAAAGTTCCCTGTCTAGTTTATGTCATACACCATTACTTACTTTTAAGCATCTTAAAATGTAAAAAAAAGTTTAAACATCCATCTAACGTCAGCAAAGAAGCCTGTGATTGGACTGTTTTGCTGGCTCAGAATGCATTCATGCTCTCTGAACTGGCAGTTAGGGGGTTAAAGGAGTGGGTAGAGTAAGGGAGAGCTTTAAAGGACCACTATAGTGCCAGGAAAACATACTCGTTTTCCTGGCACTATAGTGCCCTGAAGGTGCCCCCACCCTCAGGGACCCCCTCCCGCCCAGCTCTGGAAAGGGGAAAGGGATTAAAACTTACCTTTTTCCAGCGCTGGGCGGGGAGCTCTCCTCCTCCGATCCTCCTCCTCTCCTCCCCGTCGGCTGAATGCCCACGCGCGGCAAGAGCTTTCCCATAATGCTTTCCCATGGACGCTGGCGTGCTCTCACTGTGAAAATCACAGTGAGAAGCACGCAAGCGCCTCTAGCGGCTGTCAATGAGATAGCCGCTAGAGGAAATAGGGGAAGGCTTAACCCATTCATAAACATAGCAGTTTCTCTGAAACTGCTATGTTTATGAAAAAATGGGTTAACCCTAGAAGGACCTGGCATCCAGACCACTTCATTATGCTGAAGTGGTCTGGGTGCCTAGAGTGGTCCTTTAAGTAATGGAGGGAGGTGGGAGAGAGAACATAGAGGAATGGACAGAGGCCAGAGAAAGAGGAGAAGATTGTTATATCTGTTACCAGCATGCAGTCTGCACTGATGACAGACGTAAGTTTTGCACAGAATTTACATTTGGCAAGTTCCAAGTTCCATGCCCCCAGCAAGTCCAAATATCTCTGAATGTGAAGTGTTTCAAGCAGAAATGCTGCACATCCAGACTCCTACCACCACTTGGTGGTGATAGTCATAGTCACTTGGTGGTGATAGTCATAGTCACTTGGTGGTCAAGGGTTGGAGTGACACTTTCATTTTTTTTATTTTTGTGAATGTCTTTTTCTTGAAAGAGGATTTCAGAAAATACAACAAGAGACTCGCAGGCCTCAAAATTTGATGGTGGTTAAGACAGTTTTGAAACTGACAATTGCCACCTTTGAACAGTCTCTTCTGGATCCTAAATCATTATACATGCTTTCCTATGGGGAAGTATTAATGCGAACATGGCCATTGTCGCGCAAGCACATTACGTCTCCCCTGCCGGCTGATGTCGGCAAAGGAGGGGCAGAGGCAGAACCTGAACCAATGCTGAGGGACATTGGTGCTGGAATCAAGTGGTGACAGAAAGGTTTTTAACTCCTTCTGCACCAAGAGTGAGCTATAGTGCACGGAAACCAACTTTGTTTTGCTGGCACTATAGATAAATAACATCAAATTTCCATTGAATCTTCAAATTCTGTCCATGGGAATAGGCTAAAAAGTAAAGGGTTAACTGATGATAATCCAAAAGTCTTTGTTTCTTTTTTTTATTGAACTATTTGAATTCTACCCTTGTTTTTCATATGTGGAGACCTGCGTGTCTTGTTTCGCTTAACAAAATTTTGAGACCTGCGAGTCTTTGTACTTTGTACAATAAAAAGAAATGTATCAAAAAGTAAAACAAAAATGAAAGGTTTACCTAAACCACCATGACACTTCAGTGATTTGAAGTGGTCATGGTGATAGGAGTCTGTATCTGCAGCGTTTCTGCTTGAAATACTGCACATTCGGAGTTATTTGTACTTGTGTGCCTGGGGTTAGTTATAAGCACGGCTCATGTGACTTAGGCAGTCTGGATCTGCCGTATATGAATTCTGAGCAAAACTTACATCTGCACGATGGTGTCGTCAGATATAACAATATTCTCCCTTGCTGGCACCGCTTCTTCAAGATGAAATTTGCTCTCCTCTGCCTCTGTGTGGCCCCTACTGCCCCCGTCCATTAAATAATTCGTTTTTTTAAATTGTAAAAATCCCTTATTTCTCTCCAATCTACTTATCGCGTGCAGATGTCTCTGTGAAAAGCCTTTGAATGGGCCACGTGAGTGCAGGTATGACAGGGTGTCGAGATCAAGAGGTGATTACATTGCTGATGTGAAAGTAAGGGGATGTGTGAGAGGAAAGGTGTCTATCCTAAAAGTGGTAAAAAGTGTAATTAAATCAACAGAATAGATAAGATTAGTGCTGTAAATATTGACATTTACTTCATTTTGAATGTAAAGTAAATCGCTTCAAAAAAGTGAGCAAAGAGATCAGAGTTTAAGTGTGTTGCTAATCAGAGCCAATGTGTCCTGCTGTCTTTTTAATTATTATTATTATTGGCTATTCTGCAGCGCTTAGCAATATTATAAAAAGGGGGAAATGTTAGAATAAAATGTTTTTTCTTTACAAAATGTTACAGGAACAATAGGCTGATGAGGACCCTGCTCAAACAGGCTTATAGTCTAGACCAGTGATGGCGAACCTTTATGAGCCCGAGTGCCCAAACCGCAATACATGCCAACTATTTTTCCCTCAAAGTGCCAACATGGGAATTCCACCCGAACACTGAGGTTTAAGTTTAGGAAAAACAACTCGTACAGTTGTCTGAACTAATTAACATCTTTTAATTTAAAAGAAGAACACAGCAGAGAGTTCAATGATACAAATTATAAATAATGATATAAATTATAGATAAAATTAAGCTTATATTTATTGGTATCTCCAACAAATGCAATACATACACACAGATTGCTGAATACAGTCACAGACTGCTGAACACATTCACACACCGACTGCTGAATACACACACAGACTGCTAAATACATAGACAGACAAACTGTTGAATACATACACACAGTCCGCTGAATACTGTCAGGTATAGCCTGACATGCATTCCGCCGTAAGAACCCACTTCCGGGTTCACGGCGCTTAGCCCCGCCCCTTTCTCTGACGCGGTCCTTCCATGATACTTGGGAAGACCGCGCCAGATTCAAAACGCTGGATTATTGCACAGGTACCTGAAAAAGTGATCAGCTGCTTTACCCCGTTCCTGCCTGTATCAGACCTCGGCTTGCTAAAAACAGACTTCTACCTTCTCCACTCCTTACCTCGGCTCACTAAAACGGACTCCTACCTTCTCCACTCCCAGACCCGGCTTGCTAAAACGGACTCCTACCTTCTCCACTCCCGGACCCGGCTTGCTAAAACGGACTTCCACCCTCTCCACTCCTAGACCACGGCTTGCTAAACGGACTTCTACCTTCTCAACCCATCGGGTGAAATTAACCCTTCAGTTCCAGAAACTGCCTTTTAAGTTAAGTAACTTTTCTCCAATCAAGCCACTCTCTGTTACAAATCATAGACAGTTAACTGTGTCATTCTCTCAATTTATTCTCCTTATTCAGAAGGATCTGCTAATAACGCTAACTCTTCCTCCAATAACCAAGTCAATTATAATTACAACTTCTCCTGCTTCATTAATAGTCTTTATTATAAAAATTCCTTCTTAAATTAATCTGGAATCTAACTCTGCATTATTTCCAAAAAAAGGAATTAAGTGGCTTGTGCAAATCAACAGATTCTTATACTTTACTCACAATTAACATCCTACATGTGTAATTAAAGTGACAGTAACTACTCCTTCATTTCAATATAAAAGGAGGTAAAACTAATAGTTACTGCAATTAGAAAATTCTGCAGTTGAGTTCCAATTAAAATAAGTGTTACAAATACACACACAAATACATACACACAGTCTGCTGAATACACACACACAGACTGCTAAATACACACAAACTGCTGAATACATACAGACTGCTGAATACAGACACTGCTGAATACACATACAGACATACTGCTGAATACACACACCGACAGACTGCTGAGTACACACAGACAGACTGCTGAATACATATACACAGTCTGCTGAGTACACACAGACAGACTGCTGAATACATACACACAGTCTGCTGAATACATACACACCAACACCCACACTGCTGAATACACACACACAGTCCAATGAATAAACACACACACAGACTGCTGAATACACACACACACACATACTGCATTGAGGGGTGCAGTCTATGTGTTTGTGTGTACAGGTGCGGTGTGTGTGAGGGCTGCTGTGTGTGTGTGTGAGGGGTGCTGTGTGTGCGTGGAGTAACGCTCCACACAGCCTGCTCGCGGGAGAACAGGAGAGATGCTTCCCAGATCCTTTCTCCTGTCTCCGGGTCCTCCCAATACAAAAGCAGAGTAGGCGCCTGCCGTTTTGGGCAGACGCCTACTCTGTATTGCTGCCAACCGGCGTCAGCGTCCCCCACCCTCCCCCGGCGACCTATGGCCGCGTGCCCACAGAGAGGGCTCACGCGTGCGATAGGTTCGCCATCACTGGTCTAGAGGTCTATCTATAGTGAGGGAAGAAAGTATTTGAATCCCTGCTGATTTTGAACGTTTTCCCACCAACAAAGAAATGATCAGTCTATAATTTTAATAGTAGGTGGATTTTAACAGTGAGAGACAGAATAACAAAAAAAATCCAGCAAAATGCATGTCAAAAAAGTTATAAATTGATTTGCATGTCAATGAGTGAAATAAGTATTTGACCCCTTCGATTTATTAATTGGTGGCAAAACCCTTGTTGGCAATCACAGAGGTCAGATGTTTCTTGTAGTTGGCCACCAGGTTTGCACAAATCTCAGGATGGATTTTGGCCCACTCCTCTTTGCAGATCCTCTCCAAGTCATTAAGGTTTTGAGGCTGACGTTTGGCAACTCTAACCTTCAGCTCCCTCCACAGATTTTTCTAAGGAATTAAGGTCTGGAGACTGGCTAGGCCACTCCAGGACCTTACTGTGCGTCTTCTTGAGCCACTCCTTTGTTGCCTTGGCTGTGTGTTTTGGATCATTGCCATGCTGGAATACCCATCCACTTTTAATTCCATGGCTAAGGGAAGGAGGTTCTCACCCAAGATTTGATGGTACATGGCCCCGTCCATCGTCCCTTTGATGCAGTGCAGTTGTCCTGTCCCTTTAGCAGAAAAACACCCCCAAAGCATAATGTTTCCACCTCAATGCTTGACAGTAGGAATGGTGTTCTTAGGGTCATAGGCAACATTCCTCTTCCTCCAAACACAGCTAGTTGAGTTGATGCCAAAGAGCTTGATTTTCGTCTCATCTGACCACAACACTTTCACTCAGTTCTCCTCTGAATCATTCAGATGTTCATTGGCAAACTTCAGATGGACCTGTACATATGCTTTCTTGAGCAGGGGGACCTTGCAGGCGCTGCAGGATTTCAGTCCTTCACTGCGTCATGTGTTACCAATTGTTTTCTTGGTGACTATGGTCCCAGCTGCCTTGAGATCGTTAACAAGATCCTCCTATGTAGTTCTGAGCTGATTCCTCACCGTTTTCATGATCATTGAAACTCCACGAGGTGAGATCTTGCATGGTGTACCAGACCGAGGGAGACTGACAGTTATTTTGTGTTTTTCCATTTGTGAATAATCACATCAACTGTTGTCACCTTCTCACCAAGCTGCTTGGCGATAGTTTTGTAGCCCATTCCAGCCTTGTGTTGGTCTACAATCTTGTCCCTGACATCCTTAGACAGCTCTTTGGTCTTGGCCATGGTGGAGAGTTTGGAATCTGATTGATTGATTTCTTCTGTGGACAGGTGTGAGAGTGCTCCTAATCTCAGTTCGTTACCTGTATAAAATACACCTGGAAGCCAGAAATCTTGATGATTGATAAGGGATCAAATGCTTATTTCACTCATTGACATGCAAATCAATTTATAATCATGCAAATCAATTTATTTTTTTGTTATTCTGTCTCTCACTGTTAAAATACACCTACCATTTAAATGATAATTTCTTTGTCAGTGGACAAATGTTCAAAATCAGCAGAGGATCAAATACTTTTTTTCCCTCACTGTATCTTTCTATTTCCTCGGAAACAGGAAAATGATAAAAAAAAAAAAAGAAAAAAGGAGCAAGCCAATTATAATAATCTAATAAACTGTATATCCGAGCATTTTGTTACAGAGAATCACATGTGCAGATATGGTCATCTGACACATCTCCTGCTTGGGACTGCTTCCTGTATCAAACCGGTGTCTTCATAAAACACTGGATTTGGTTATAACCCTTTCTGTGGTGGTCACTCCTCCATACTCAAGAAAAAAAAATCTTAAACATCTTTTTTCCAGCTTTGAAGTTCTCCCGCAGGCTGATCTTTCACGGCCGGCGTCACTCCTTGTCGCCAGAGGAAGAGGGAGGTCAAGGAAGGCAAATGAGGGGAGGAGATAGGCAGCATCATGGAGGTGGGATGCCACCATATTGGATTTCTGTCACCAACATGCTGTGCATGTTGGTGTCAGACACCGATATTGCATGGAACTTACCATAGCCAGCCCAGACCTTTGTTCTGGGCTTGTTAATGGCACTGCGGAAGCTAAGAGGTAAATCTCTGTCCGTGCAGCATTTCATAGTAAAACGCTGCACATATAGACTGCAGGCACCATGACCACTTCAAATCACTGAAGTGGTCATGGCGCTTGGAGTAACCCTTTAAAGAAACACTATAGGCAACCAACCCACTTATTTTCAATGAAGTGGTCTGGGTGCCATGTCCCCTTCATTTTATCCCTGCAGCTAAAAACATTGCTGATCTGCAAGAACAGCCATGTTTTCATTGTAGGATTCACTTGCCTCTAGTGGCTGTCATATTGACAACCACTAGAAGTGCTCCCGCTGAAATTGTGAAATAAAACTGGCTTCCAAATGCCAACTGACCTACCAATATTTCCCTATGGGGGAGCATTGGATTGGCCGAAATCATCTATCTCGATGATCTCAGCCAAAGAGGCAGAGCGGGAATGACGGGAACCAGTGCTGTGAGCAGTGGTGTATTTTGAAATGGTGCTGCCCTAGGCATGACATATCTCGGCACCCCCTAATTTAAATTTACCCGCCCTTCCTGCCTAGGCCACACCTCTTCCTGTTAACTTACACACATTTTGACTGACAAACACACACTCACGGACCGGTACACACTCTCAGACACACTGACATAAACACACATACACTCACTGATTTGATACAATCAGACAGACACTTACAATCATTCAGACACACACTGACAGACGCATACACTCACTGACAGACACGCAGTGGGTACACTTACTGACAGACACGCACAATCACTCAGACACACACAATCACTGGACACACACACTAACAGACACTCACTGATAGAGAGACACACACACATTCACTGATAAACACACACTTACTGACAGACACACACATTCACTGACACACACTCACTCAAATTCTCTGACACACACTCATTCACATTCACTGACACACACACACACACACACTCACATTCACTAACACACTCACTCACATTCAGTGACACACACACTCACATTCACTAATTTGCTATAGACCAGGAAGTGCCCTCTAGTGGCTGTCTAGTAGACAGCCACTAGAGGTGGAGTTAACCCTGCAATTTAATTATTGTAGTTTATGAAAACTGCAATATTTACAGTTGCAGGGTTAAGGGTAGTGGGAGTTGGCACCCAGACCACTCCAATGGGCAGAAGTGGTCTGGGTGCCTGGAGTGTCCCTTTAAGGGCTTACATTTACGACTTTTTTCCTTTTACTTGTAAACACATCAACCTTGAACAGAAACGTGTCAAATAGTGATATAAATGTAAAATAGCAATCACCCGACCTATAAAAAAACAAAAACACGTCTATAAAACATACAATATGTTACTGCGGGATTATTGGTATCAGTCCCAGGTTAGTACATGGGTGGATGTAGCTGACACTGGCCAATGAGGGATATCGGTGCCTATGATAATTGGTGATTTTGGTTCCTCTCCCGTTATCGCTCCCTACATATAATCTCTAGTATGAGTTCTCGTGCTAAAAGTTGCAATGCGCTGGTGAGCTACCCAGAATTCATGGTTTATGTCTGGTTACATTGGTGCATGCTCTGCAGAAAGGGTGAAGCTGATTGCCAGGAGCTTTGAATAAAAATCAGTAATGGAAGTGTTGCGATAGAAGGGTTAACATTTATTTTAGGAAATTCCGTAAAATGATCTGGATTTTCTTTAGAAATAGATACATATTTTTATTACAATCAAGCACATGTGGCTATAAATACCTGTAGAAATTGATTATTCTGTAATAATTTCAGTTCTGTATATGGACTGGATTATTGGTATTATAAATGGGGGCAGTGCACCTTCCTCTTTCCATAACTGACTGGAGATTGGGTTTGTAAATTAAAGGACTGGCATGGGAATAGCAGAAATTCACTGACTCAGAAGGATTGCCATTTATAATTGAGAGTGAAATCTAACACGGTTATTCAGTTAAGTGAGAGTTCAAGGTGAATTTCAAATTTGAGGTCAAAATAGCGAAGTGGAAAAATGAATTAAATCATAACCAATCAGAGTTCAAAGGACATTTAAATCAATATCTAGACACTATATTATGTTATCCTACATCACAGATGTTTGGAGGAATGATTAAAAACCAGCTATAATTGCTGTTGATTCCCCAAAAGGAATTCATCAGACAAGTTAACAGAGCCATTTTAACACATGGGCACCAGGGGAAGTTGCCCAATGAGCACAAAGGCCCCATAGACTTACCAACGTCTCAGTATATATTTTTCCGGGAGATTTATTCAGAACTTTCAAACCCTCTTTATTAAAACGTTTACATGGAATAATCCCCTCAATATCAGCTGTTATCTGTACATGCAAATTTGCTGTTGCGAATACATATCTTGACCTTGACAAAAACAACGTACGCATACAAATTGTACATATTCAAGAAAATATCAACACACATCATTTTTTGAAGCCGGGGGTTCTTTCAAATTATTTTTCCGTGTACCCACATATTCATTTCAAAGACTGAAACTGGTATAAAAAAAAAAACAGCTTTGCAACACAGCAGCGTTTGAACTGACTCAATGTGGACCAAAAATGGCATCCTGAAGACCATTGACTTGTTTGTGTTGAACAATTGATTGATAATAAATAATTCAAAGTAATTTCATACTGTGCCATCTCCGTCTGTATGATTTACCAACTGAGTGCCATTTTTACGTTACATTTTTTAACTTCAAGGCTCACGTTGTATTGTGCAGACGTTTGTATGACTTTACCTCTGGTGTACAGCATGCTTTTTAATGTTTAATTTCTGATTGTGTTGGCAGTACCAATAGATGTAATCTTAAAGGAGCACTATAGTGCCAGGAAAACAAACTCGTTTTCCTGGCTCTACAGGGTCATTAGGTCTCCCCCACCCTCAGGGCCCCCCTCCTGCTGGGCTTAAAGGACCACTCTAGGCACCCAGACCACTTCAGCTTAATGAAGTGGTCTGGGTGCCAGGTCCTTCTAGGGTTAACCCATTTTTTCATAATTATAGCAGTTTCAGAGAAACTGCTATAATTATGAATGGGTTAAGCCTTCCCCCTAATCCTCTAGTGGCTGTCTCATTGACAGCCACTAGAGGCGCTTGCGTGCTTCTCACTGTGAAAATCACAGTGAGAGCACGCCAGCGTCCATAGGAAAGCATTGTAAATGCTTTCTATGAGACCGGCTGAATGCGCGCGCAGCTCTTGCCGCGCGTGCGCATTCAGCCGGGGGGGGAAGGAGGAGGAGAGGAGGAGCTCTCCGCCCAGCGCTGGAAAAAGGTAAGTTATTACCCCTTTCCCCCTTCCAGAGCCGGCGGGAGGGGGTCCCTGAGGGTGGGGGCACCCTCAGGGCACTATAGTGCCAGGAAAACGAGTATGTTTTCCTGGCACTATAGTGGTCCTTTAAAACTAATTCAGCTACTTACCTTTATCCAGCGCTGGGCTCCCTCGGTGCTGGTGACCTCTCCTCCCACTCCGATGTCAGCTCCCGAGTGGAGCGGAATGCGCATGAGCGGCCAGAGCCGCACGCGTGTTAAAATTGCCCATAGGAAAGCATTTCTCAATGCTTTCCTATGAACGTTCTGCACACTGAATGCAGCCACTAGAGGCTGGATTAACCCTGCTATGTAAACATAGCAGTTTCTCTGAAACTGCTATGTTTACATCTGAAGGGTTAAAAACCTGGGGGACCTGGCACCTAGACCACTTCGTTGAGCTGAAGTGGTCTGGGTGACTATAGTGGTCCTTTAAAATGTTCCCATTCTGTTTTCTTACAGACCTTGTTTTCCCTGTAAACTAAGCCTTGGACAAGTACTATACGTAGATGTCAGCTCCCGAGTGGAGCGGAATGCGCATGAGCGGCCAGAGCCGCACGCGTGTTAAAATTGCCCATAGGAAAGCATTTCTCAATGCTTTCCTATGAACGTTCTGCACACTGAATGCAGCCACTAGAGGCTGGATTAACCCTGCTATGTAAACATAGCAGTTTCTCTGAAACTGCTATGTTTACATCTGAAGGGTTAAAAACCTGGGGGACCTGGCACCTAGACCACTTCGTTGAGCTGAAGTGGTCTGGGTGACTATAGTGGTCCTTTAAAATGTTCCCATTCTGTTTTCTTACAGACCTTGTTTTTGTAAACTAAGCCTTGGACAAGTACTATACGTAGAATGAACCATTCTCATATATTGCCGCTGCAGCAAGAAAAGGCCATGAGCTATATAGTTTTTGTCTTTAATTTTTTTGTCTTAATTTTTATGTGTGCACAACATTGTATTCTGTATATTTATGCTACCCAGAAAGAGAGAGAAAAGTATACAACTTGTGACTGAATTACAGATCAAATCAGAGATAAACTAGTTTACTTATGTGTAATATCAGTATCTGGTGGAAGATATCTGCTTCAGAACTGATATAAAAACACAGGAAAGGAGATTTGTCAAGGCTAAACAGGTGGTGTTTTGAGTGCAAAGTGCTAAATATTTTTTCAAACATTTTATAGGTTTCTATGGTAAGTGAACTTGAATTGAATTAGCGCTATGATCCAGAACAGTGCCTGTTTTTAATCTTGATAAATCTCTCCAAAGTTTATTACTCACACTGACACATCCTTTTATGTGAACCTACAATTTGATTTTAATACAGTACAGTATATGGTATGTGGGATAATTTACTTGCTGAATTCACCAGTGAGGTAAATGGTATCCTATCATGTTCAAAACTATTAAACATGATTTAATTTCTGAACTTCATGTTATGTGACCCCCTCCTCCCCCCTCCTTATTTAAGAAAAGTCAGTGTATTCGTGGCACACACAGATTTGATGTAAAGAGTATGACACATATATGTAACTACTGGTGGGTGTTGCTATTGAGCTCAGTACTAGTGGAAATTATGTAATGTAAAGAAAAAAAAACACACACACAGCCATTGATATTGGAGCTGAGTATCACTGGACCATCCCCATAAGGGGGTGCCTGTGTTGTGTAACACCAGGGGAGGGTATCATGAATTTCAGCTGAAGTTTGTGCCCCATCCAATATGGCGTCGCCGCCCCGCCGCGCCTCGTACTAGTCAAGGGTCAGAGGGTGTGTGAGCGCCACCAGCATGGCTCCAAGATATCGGGCATTACACGCGGTGCTCAGGTTGCTGCCCACTGCTCGCACCGTCCGATCCAGAGGTTTCAGCACCTTGCCGGAGCCGGTGGTCAGGATGGAGTACCAGGTGAGAAGGGGGCAGGGGGAGGTTGCATCAGACAGGGGGACACGTGGGTTAGGGGATGAATGGCAGCAACAGGGCCAGGAACTGCTGCATCTAGACATTTCTGGGGCTCTGGCATCTTCCACTTTAACAAATAATAAAAAATGTATAACAACCTTTTAGTATTTATTTTATTTTATGTCAAAATGTAGATGCACAGCTGCTGTAGGGACTGCAACTCCTATGATGCTGTGTGAACCTATGACATCATGACAGGTGTGGACCTACACTAACACTTTATCCACCCATAGTCTAGCTGTTCACTCATAAAAAGAGTAAATAGGGTGATTAGTGCTGGGCATTAAGTTGGCACATAACCTGACGGGTTAAAGAGTATGACATGCTGGCTTATGGAGAGAGATGTTTTGCATTAGAACCAGTGCATGGTTGCAATGAATACTGTTTAGAAATATCCTAGAAGAAGATGAAGTATTATGGAATCAATGTGGAAGTTCTAGAATTCTCATGTTAACCCCTTTCCTGTATAAAGGAACTATAGTACTTTTCTCTGCAGTATGCTCTGTTGATCAGATCCTTAAGCCATTCTGTTGTTGATTTACTTCTATGCTTTGGGTCATTGTCCTTTTGCAACACCCACCTTCTGTTGAGCTTCAGCTGGTAGACAGATGGCCTTAAGTTCTCCTGCAAAATGTCTTGATAAACTTGGGAATTAATTTTTCCTTCGATGATAGCAATCCGTCCAGGCCCTGACTTGTCTGTAAATCTTTAAGGGGTTAATGGAGATGTCAATACTCCATATGTACAATGATGAATGTTCCTTAAAAAAGCACTTTATCTCCAGGAGCATGGCACCTGCTAGTGATTATGTTCTATTAACATTAACCGACAAAGTGACAGCTAACCTGTCACATTGTGAGTGTTTCAGACTACTTCCATAAGTATATGCAAGGTAGGGCAAATAGAGACTGCTCCTCCCCATCCCTCGATTCAATGCTGTCAGACTGAGCATCACATGGGAAATGTAAAATGAATTCTAGAAGAAAGTCATCCGTGATTTAGTCTTTGGCAGCTCTGTCAATTTCTGTCAATTGTAATTTTACATGGTTATCAACTAGTGAGAATTCAAAGTGAATTTATCTTTTAAGGCCAAAATAACTGAAATGGGGGGGGGAGGTTTCTAAGTCAGCTATGAATACAGTTGGATTACCTTGGCCTTAATTTAGAAATGATCTGAATTTACTTTGAAGTCTTACTTTAGTTGTAATTAAACCTGTAAATGTTTGGATTGCTCGTATGGGCATTTAGGGACTATATATCAGCGACTTTAGGTGTCATAGGTTTATTCACTAAAGTGTGAGTTGTCAAAAATTAAAAAGTGAAGTAGAAATTTTAGGCTTTTTTAGGTGTTTAGGAATATTTTTATAGTAAAAAAAAAAAAAAAGGCTTTTGTAAATGAGTAATGCGTTCTCACCACGCTGGCAGACAGTGGGTTAATTAATCACTAGCGGGCAGACAGTGGGCATATACCTTACTAGTGCGTGGCACCTTGTTTGCTAGTTGTATTTCTATGAATGAGACGTGAAGTATTTAACCCCTTAAGGACACATGACGTGTGACATGTCATGATTCCCTTTTATTCCAGAAGTTTGGTCCTTAAGTGGTTAAAGGGGAGGGGGGAAAGGGGAGCTTATTGGTGTTATTCAAAGTCAATTTCAAATTTAAGGCCAAAGAAACCAAACTTGAAGCATAGGTGATTTAGAAAAATGTGCCATTTCGGCTATTAAGGCCTTTAATTGGAAACTCATTTTGGATTCTCACTTAAGTGAATAGCCCTGTTTCTGTTAATGCATTTCTCAAGTTCAGGTGACTGAGCAGTGTGGGGGAGGACAGGCCGGGGATATATTTATCACTGGTTTGTGTAATGAGCAGTCTGTGCTAATCACGCGTGTTTGCAGAGGTAGATAAGATCAGGTTAAGGTCCTATGTTATACCCCTTTCTCTTATATTAATTTTCCAGTCTCTCTGCAGGTGCATAAATGGCACTAATATGACATGCATGGACACAACACAAATTGTATAACTTTGGGCATCAATATTTAAAGGGGCCTCCATAAATAAAGTGGCAGCCCGCAGTAGTGTTTGTGACCCACTCCCCTACCCCCCCTTGCAACACCCTCTGGTAGACAGCCACGAGAGATGGAGCTAACCCTGAAAGGTAAATATTTTAGTTTATTGAAAACTGCATTAATTAGCTTTACAGCATTAAGGGACCTGGGGCAAAGAGCTGAAGTGGTCAGAGTGCCTATACTGTCCCTTTTAACCCTTTTCCTTAACATCACCTACCCAATTCTAAAATACTTCTTACTTGCTTCTCAGTATCTGCACGCCATCATTAAACAGAACGTATCAGTCCTGCCTCAATTAAAGGGACATTCAAAAAGGAACACTCTAACATTAACAGGGTTATTCACTATAGTTAATTTAAATCAAATTCCATATTTAAGGCCAGAGTTGCTGAACTGAAGGCTTAGCTGACTTAGAGTTCGTACAGTCATTTTGACCTTTTATATTTCTAAACTCACCTTAAATTCTCACTTTTTATAAAGAGTCTTACTGGATCATTCACCAAAGTGACAATTCAAATCGAATTTCAACTTTAAGGTCATAATAGTCGAACCGGAAACACTCCAATTCAGTGATGCTTCAAGTGCAGCTTCTTTGGTCTTAAATGTGAAATTTATTTTGAATTCTCACCATAGTAAATAACTAACTTCCCCCACACACCCTGTAATTTAGTGCATCTTTATACGGAGCGTTTCATGTCTTCATGTAGAGCGTGAAGACTCCTAACGTCAGTCCTGCACAAACTGTGTGGTTTTATGACTAAAGCTGTAGATGCAGTTGGCTGCAGCACTGGCTCGTTCACTGAAACTTGAATGCCTGAATTTGTACACAGCAGCTTTTCTTCGGTGATGGAACTCACCCTTGTTGTAACTAGTAGAAAATAAAAACATCCCAGAAACCCTGTTCTCCATGTACCGTAGCCAATGCAAGGAGAATGCATTGTCATCATGATTTGAAGGTTCCTTTAAGAAAAATAGATTGTGATTACTTTGCTTTTTAATAATGCTGATAAAAAGGCCAAGTTGGGCCAGGCAGGAATTTAGACGCCCACTTTCCTGTGAGCGTTTACTTTCGGTCACATGGATCGCCGTGCACAACTCACACTCAATTTTGTGTAAATTTAAACGGGAATTGCATAGGAAGATCCCAGTTTAGAATTTTCCATGGTGCACGTTATTTATTTATGTCGTGCAACCCATGGTAAGCAATGCTTGCAGAAATTGTGGGCAGAGGTAGAAATAATCAAGGACTTTGGGCTGGATTTGCATTGATTTTAAAGACTCTCGTTCATGCTTTTAAATTCTCATTGGACAAAAAGGCATCCTACAGAACAGAGACATATTCACTTTACATCCTGCACGATGGTCACATTACTTATATTTTTAATCAGTACGCAACTTGTTGGTGCATACATTTTTTTTATTTGTTTTGTTCAGTCATTTACCCCTATCGCCATATTGTCCCACTGAGCTGTGCATCCTCCGTTTTGTGTCCTTGTTATTGTTCTAATTCTCCCCCCCCATTTTTTTTGGACAGGACGCCATCCGCACGTTGAACACATTGCAAACCAATGCCAGTTACCTGGAACATGTCAAAAGACAGCGCAGTGATCCTGTAGAGCAACTAAAGGCTATGAGGTTATTTCTAGAGAGGAGCGGTTTGCGGGTAAGTGTTGCAATGGCAGCCATTTTGTTCTGGTATACCTGTCTGCACTAATTAGATCTGTACGTTTATTTACTAAATTATACGTAAGAATCAGTCAAAACAGCCAAGCAGTGACTATATCTGAGTTCCAAAATTTTCCAGGTCAGTTACTTCAGTGGTGCATTTTGAAATTTGTCTTTCAATTCCCTGTTTAATGTGTAAAACCTGTAAATCACAGATGGACAAAATGTAAGTCTGGCAAAGTATCCTGGGAAAATCTTGTTTTATTAGAGCTGGAACTCCTACCTCATTGCCAACTCTGTGTAAATTTATTCCTAATAATATTCAACTGAATTAAAAAAAAAACAAATCTGAATTGTATGTCCCTATTTGTCTACAGGTGGAAGACTTGGATCAGTTAAACATTATTCACGTAACTGGGACGAAAGGAAAGGTGAGCTGGGAAATGGGATTTTGGCTGGGCACGTGCTTGGAATCAGACAATATAATATATTAAAAAATAAATAAAAAATGTTATATATATATATATATATATGTGTTCTCTGCTTGCTTGAATATGTCACAGGTTCTATTTAATTCACGTTATTAGTATAACTGCAGTCTCATGCTTACAAGTGTAGTTATTCCCCTATACAAGCTATGACATTGCGTTTTATCAGGAGTCAGATTACACCAAGCCTGGGATAGAGCGATATTGATTTCTGTGGAATTCATTACCTTTTACAACCCTGCTTTGCTTCTTATAGCTAAAGTTCTGTGTTTAAAAAAAAAATAAAAAAAAAATGTCATAAGTAAACCCGGTGGCTACTTAAAGGACCACTATAGGAACCCAGACCACTTCAGCTTAATGAGGTGGTCTGGGTGCCTGGTCCATCTAGGTTTTTTCTATAAACCTGCTATGTTTATATTAGGGTTAATTCAGCCTCTAGTGGCTGTCTCATTGACAGCCGCTAGAGGGCTTCCGTGTTTCTCACTATGAAAATCACAATGAGAAGACGCCAGCGTCCATATGAAAGCATTGTAAATGCTTTCCTATGGACTGGCTGAATGCGTGTGCGGCTCCTGCTGCGCATGCGCATTCAGCCGAAGAGGGGGAGGGGAGGAGGAGGAGAGCTCCCGACGCTAGAGATAGAGGTAAGTTTGACCCCTTCCTCTCCATCCAGCCTGGCGGGAGGGGGACCCTGAGGGTGGGGGCACACTCAGGGCACTAAAGTGCCAGGAAAACGAGTATGTTTTCCTGGCACTATAGTGGTCCTTTAAGTTTGGTATGGTTTATTTTTATGTAAATGTGATTTTTATTGTTTTCAGCATAGCAGTTTCACAGTACAATGGAGCAATCCAAACACTGAGGCGCACAGGATGGTTGGAATTAGTGGTACATATAGATAGCATGCGTTGGACTCGCAGGTCCGCTTGAGTTAGGTCTGACATTTTCGGGTCATATTTCGTGGACCCTTATTAATGACATGGTTTGTCCGCCTGTGCGTGTGTAGTGGTTTTATATGGGTTGGGGTGCCCTCATTGAACTATGTGACTGTGATTTGTATCTGCATGTGCAGTTGTCCAACAAATTTTCATGTAGATACGTTTATCCTTGCTTTTTGCTGGTTTTGTGCCTGACAGTATTAGTGTGTAACAATTGAATTTTTAAAACAGCGAGGCTCGCAGGCTCGCAACAACTGTGGAAAGATTTAGTCGTTATATATAGCATGCGTTGGACTCGCGGGTCCCTTTGAGTTAAACCTGCCTTTTCTGAGTTTCGTTTCGCCATCCTTTGATGATGGTCAGGTTTCGATTCCCGGGTGTTTGGATCGGCCCAGTTAGCGGGTCTGGTGTCTCTAGTGGTATATGTGGATGTGGTTGGTTTCTGTTCGTGTGGTTATCTATGTTGTCATTACGGTGTGTGCTCTAGAGTAGGGTCGGTTTTTATATCTGGTTTGTTACGTATGTCGGTAAAGTATTGATATTGATTCATTAATCGTTTCAGGTAGTAGAGTTCATAGTCTGCCATGAATGTGCGGGGGTATTACTCTTCCTGTGTGATACGTGGTGATCTCGAAGGTGTGTAGAGGGTGATCATGTCTTCGGTCTATTGTTTTTCTTTTGCCTCAGTTGTTGATGTGATAGATGTGTCTAGGGGTGTGGGTGGTTTATAGTGAGGGGTATGTTTGTTGGTGTATGCCTCGTGCCTACGGGCGTATGGGTCTTCAGGTGGTGGGGCGTTCACGTCTCTGTTCGGTTTGGTGTGGTTGGTGTCCTGAGGGTGTTTTGTTAGAAATTGTTGGTCCTCCCAGGTTTGGTTTGTCATGCTTGGGTTATTTGTATCCCCTCGTGTTGTGGCGTTTTGAGGTGATGAGCGGTGGTAGGTGTGTTCACGTGGTGTTCTCTTTATATTGTATGTTCGTGTCAGTTGCTCGGGTGAGTGTTATCTTTCTCTGTTGTCTTTTTCTATGGGTTGTGGTCTTTTGTTTCACGTACTTCGTTGGCCTCTTATATGTCCAGTCGTGTTGTAGATTTTGTTGTTGTTTGAGGTATGTGTGTTAGTTCGGTCTCCGAGATGGTGGGGTTATGTCCGTTATGCTGGGTGTCTAGTTCGTCGGCTTGGTGCGGTCCTATTGAGTGTGTGGTTATTTCCCGGGGGGTGATCGTTCCAGTGTTGTGTGGGGTGCATTATTAGGCGTGTCAGGCTGATCATGCTTGTGTGGTGATATTCATATGTCTGTACGGGTGTGTGTGTGTGTGTTGGGGAGGGTGTGTGTTAAGATATGTTGATTCTGTGTCGTTTGGGTGCTGAGTGATGTTGGTGTATGGTGTTGTGGGGAAGGAGTGGATGCGCTAGGTGTGGTGCGGGGAGGTTGAGTCCTCCCTTCTCAATCCCCATCCCCCCGGCCACGGCCCCCCCGCCTCGTCTTGCCATGTAGATTAGCCATGGTTGCCATTTGTCTCCGTGTTTTGAGAGAGTGTCTGTCAGGGTCATGTCCATTTCTTCCGTGGCTCTGATATCTTCCACTCTGGTTAGCCATTGTTCCATCGAGGGGACTTGAGTTAGTTTCTAGAAAGTAGGGATGAGTGCCTTGGCTGTGTCGAGGAGGTGGCGTAGGATGGATCTTTTGTATTTCGAGATCGAGTCTTGTGTGTGGTGGAGGAGTACATTTTCCATTGTCAGTTCTGTCGCGTCCCCTAGGATATCCCTGATGCGGGCTATTATCTGGTTCCAGAATGGTTTGATTTTGGTGCATTCCCACCAGATGTGTTTTATTGTGCCCACGTCCGTCTCGCATCTCCAGCACGTCGCTGGGGTGTTGGGAAATATTCTGTGTAAGAGGTCCGGGATTCTGTACCAGAACGTTAGTAATTTGTAATTCATTTCTTGGTATGATGTGCTAATTGAGGATTTGTGATGGAGAATTAGAATTTGGTCCCATTGAGCGTCTGTGAATGTCCTGTCTGTGAGGTGTTCCCATTGTCACTTTTATATAGCAGAGCTGTCTTTTGGTTGTTCGTGATCAGGTACTGGTAGAGGGTTGATGTAGGTTTCTGGATGGTCGGTTTTTGGTAGCAGGTTTCTTCGAAACACGTGAGGGTTCTGTGTATTGCGGCTCTATCTGGTAGTGTGTGATAGAAATGTTGTAGTTGTGTGTATCTGTATCTTTGCATGGGAGTCAGTGTGCCCTCTACCAGTTGGTCCAGCGGAGCCAGTCTGGTGGCGGTCAATGTTTTGTGGATCGAGATGAAGTCTCATCCCTCCAGGAAGCTCCAAGCCCTTGCCGGTAGTCCTCCTCCTAGTAGTTGGTTGTCCGTTAGCATGGTCATTGGGCTAAGTGTGGGGGAGACATTTGTTGTTTTCCGCAGTGACGCCCATATCTGAAGAGTTTGACTAGCCGGGGAGAGTTTGTTGAGTTCGTCCTGTGCTGTTGTTTTAGTGTTCCAAACAGTGGCGAAGATGGTTGGGCCGGTGGACGAGTCTCTATCCAGGGTCACCCATTGCTTGTGACGTGGGTTTGTGTGCCATTCTAGGATCCGTTGCAGGGCTGTTGCACGATGGTAGTTCTGCAGATCCGGGAGAGCTAATTCTCAGCTTCTTCTGGTCTGGCAGAGGAGTTCATATCGCAGTCGTAGTTTGTGTCCTTTCCATATGTAGGTCAGGAACGTGGTTTTCAGAGATGCGAAGAATGCAGTCGGTATCGACAGGGGCATCGTGTGGAATAGGTATGTTATTCTGGGTAATATATTCATTTTGATCACCGCTATGCGGCCTAGACAGGTGATGTGTGGGTAATTTCAGGTCCGTAGATCCTGCTGGATGCGAGTAAGGAGAGGGACAAGGTTTGTTTGGTAGAGGGAGCTTGGATCCGCTGTTATCCAAATCCCTAGGCATCTCATTTGGGAATGACACCACCGGAAGGGGAAGTTTGAGGCTATAGCTCTGTGTTCTCTCATCGGGTCGTTTATGTTGAGGAGTTCGCATTTATTCAGGTTGAGTTTGAGGCCCAACAGGTGTCTGTAGTCTTCAAGTTCTTTTATTAGGCAGATTAGGGTGATTCTCGGTTGTGTAATGAAGAATAACATATCATCCGCGTATGCAGCAACCTTGTGTGTGGTGGTTTTCCATGTGTATCCTGTGATGTTGATGTTTCGTCTTATCGTTTCTAGTAGGGGTTCTAACGTTAACACGAATAGTAGTGGTGGGGACAGGGGACACCCTTGTCTAGTGCCATTCCGGATCGGAAAGGACTCCATCAGTGCTCCGTTGACTTGGACTGTTGCTGTCGGGTTGCTATATATTGCTCCGATCCAGCTCAGTATCCCAGTAGGTGTAACACTGTTTTCAGGAACGTCCAATCTACTCTGTCGAACGCGTTCTCGGCGTCCGCCGAGAGCAAGAGGAGTGGTGTTTTGTTTTGTCTCGTTAGGTGTTGTATGGCGAGGACCCATAGGGTGCTATCCCGGGCCTCTCGTTCCGGTATGAATCCTGTTTGGTCGGGGTGCACTAGAGTTGGCATCAGAGTGCGGATTCTGGTGGCTAGAATCTTGGTGAAAAGTTTTGTCTATGTTTAATATGGATATGGGTCTGTAGCTACTGCAGGCCTCCGGGTCCTTTACTGGCTTTGGGATTGTTGTGATCGTAGCCGATAACGATTCAGTGTGGAATGCTGTCCCGTTCGTGATTGCGTTCAGGGCTTTTGTGAGCCTGGGGATTAGAATGTTCTGGAGTCGTTTGTAATAGTTTAGGGTCAGTCCGTCTGTGCCAGGAGCACGACCTGTTTTTGTTGTTTTGATGGCTGCTCGTATTTCGTCTTCAGTGATCGGTTGATCAAGCGTTTCTGCGTCCGCGGCCGTCACGGTTGTATGGAGGTGTTGTCTTAGGAAGTGTTCTGTGCATTCCAGTTTGTTGCGTTCGTGTTCGTCATCACCTTGTTTGTGTGTGTGTGTTGTATAAGGACGAGTAATAATTGAGAAATTCCTTTGCGATTTTCCTCCGGGTGTTGTGTGGACGTGCCTCCTTGCAGTTTTAGTCTGTGTACTTGTGCGGGTTGTTGTTGTCCTCTAAGCATATGTGCGAGTAGTTTCTCTCCCTTATTTGCGTGGAGGTAGAAGAATCCTTTTGATTTGCGTAGGTGTCTCAGGTGTCTCTTGAGCAGTAGGGCGTCTAGTTGCTTTCTCGCCTCTAGGAGTTCTTTGTATGTGTCTTCCACTTGGTGTCGCTTATGTTGTGTTTCTAGTGTATTAATCTGGTCAATGAGATCTGTCATTAGTCTGCTTGTTTCCCGCTTACGTTGCGACGCGAGTTGTATGAGTTTGCCTCGTATTACACTTTTGTGTGCTTCCCAGATTGTCATGTCCGAGACATCGTCCGTCTCGTTTTACGAGAAGTAGCTTGTTCGTGGTTGTGTGATTTGGTCTCTCAGTACTATATTGGTCAGTAGGGTGTCCTTGAGTCTCCAGGTTCTCCTCGTTGGTCTCGTGAAGGGGGAGTCGATGTCTATTGATACTTGTCCGTAGTCCGACCAGGTCGCTGTGTGAATGGTGGCTTTCTGAAGTCTTGCCAGAGTTTCTTGTTGTACTAATAGAAAGTCTATTCTAGAGTATCTCTTGTGTATTGTGGAGTAGTGTGTGTATTCTTTGACTGCTGGAGGGCCATGCACCCATTAGACAATCAGTCATAGAGACTTTAGAGTTTGGTGGATGTTCTTTATTTCTCTTTGTGGGATACTGCTGTGTCCCGTGGAGGAGTCCATTTTCGGGTCCATCGGGGTATTGAAATCTCCTCCTGTTATCAGTATTCCTTCCGCGAAAACTGCCAGTTTCTTCAGCGTGCATTTAAAGGACCACTCTAGGCACCCAGACCACTTCAGCTTAATGAAGTGGTCTGGGTGCCAGGTCCAGCTAGGGTTAACCCATTGTTTTATAAACATAGCGGTTTCAGAGAAACTGCTATGCTTATGAATGGGTTAAGCCTTCCCCCAAAGCCACTAGCGGCTGTCTCATTGACTGCCGCTAGAGGCGCTTGCGTGCTTCTCACTGTGAAAATCAGCAAGCGTCCATAGGAAAGCATTGATAATGCTTTCCTATGCGACCGGCTGAATGCGCGCGCAGCTCTTGCCGCGCGTGCGCATTCTGCCGACTGGGCGGATCGGAGGCTGAGAGGAGGAGGAGAGCTTATAAGCGGAATAGGGCAGGTGAGTATTTCTTCTATATTCCCCAATCTGTCCTGGGGTAAGCCCTTAGGCTATCCCTCTCACCCGTGATGTTATTGCGGCAGCCGCGATTATCCTGATCCTCCATTTGCCGTCTCATGGCTAGGAGGAGAGCTCCTTGTCGTTTTAGGGCAGTGTCTGTGGCTGTGGAGTGCTCCTCCGCTGTCTGTGCTCTTTGCTGTTCCAGTTGCAGGATGCGGGTTTCCTGTGCATTAATTTATCCTTTCAGGCCGGCCATTTCTGTTTTAATAGCCTTGTAGAGTTTAGAGGATAGGTGAGTGAGGTCATCTTTAGTGACCGTCACTGTTGCTATGCGTTTTAATTCCGCACCGATGTCGACCAGTGTGGTGCCGTCTGAGCTGGAGCATGTGGAGATCGGAGAGGTTGGCGCCATATTGGAAGGCTGGGCCTCGTGAGAAGGCCCGGCCGGGGTACTGAGGAAGCCGTGCATCGGACCCGAGAGTGACCCCGAAGAGGTGTTTCTGGGGGTCTGGGAGTGTTCAGTAAGCTTAGTGCACCTTATGTGTGCGGGTAAGTGCAGGGTTTCAGTGTGGTTCGCTGATTTTAGTGCTGGTGTGGAACGGAGCAGTGCGGTTAAGCGTCCATGTCTGTCGGAGCACAGGCCACGCCCTGGTATGGTTTCTTTTTATTTTGTTGTTGTGTTGTTATTTTTGTTTAATTAGTGTGTGTGTGTATATATATATATTACCTGTAATCTTTGTGTATTATAAATAAAGATTGACAAAAAAGATATATATCTTTTTTTTTTTTTTTTTTAATGTATTATCATTTTATATTTTTTTGTCAATCTTTCCTTATTCTTAATCCACAAAGATTACAGGTAATGTATAGTCAAAGGCTCATATATATTGCATAACCCCAGTTAGCATCCAAGTAATTGTTGAACATTAGGATTAAGGTGTTTTTTTTGTTTTGTTTTTTTTTTGTTTGTTTTTTTGATTTGGTAAAAGGAAAAATGATCACAGGTGTTGTGTCTTAGATAAAGCACCTTAACCCCTTAAGGACCAAACTTCTGGAATAAAAGGGAATCATGACATGTCACACATGTCATGTGTCCTTAAGGGGTTAAGGAGTTATGTGTGGTAGGTTAGTGTCAGAGGGCATTATAGGCTGTGTTAATATATAAAAAAAAAAAAATATTCAATTACTTTTTTTTTTTTTAAAACCAGACTCCCCTGTAGGACGCTTTTGTGTGTGGGATTAATAAAATTTTATTCTCCCCATGATCCCAAACAAAGGCGATGACTTAACCACAGGGGCACACACACAGCTGAGCTATTGTAACCCAGAGATGACTTGTATTCAGTGAGCATATAATCAGAGAAATTAGGACACATTTTTGTCCTTGATCAGGGCCTTGTGTGGCCGAAGCATCACCTATTCGTTTGGCACTTCTAATAATCACCTGTCTGATGTAAGCATTGTGCTGAACAGTCAGTTGTATTGTAAATTGTGATCTATATTCATATAGAAAAATCATGTTTTAACTCCTTTTTTTTTTTTTTTCCAGCTATTCATATTTTTATTAGTAATATTTTAGTTCTGATTTTATCTGTTGCTTCCTCCTCAGGGATCCACGTGTGCTTTCACAGAGCAAATCCTTCGCAACTGTGGCTTGAAAACAGGATTTTACAGGTATTCTCTGAACTTTGGAACATTTAATATTCAGCAGGAGAAATTCCCATTGTCACAGCTTGCCTCTGATATAACAGTCTGTTATTTTGATAATGTGATACTCAGAGTGTGTGTTGAATAAAATATCCACAGCCTGATAGAACATTTAGATTTTTCTGATATAGATACGGTTTTCAGCACTCACATCTTATCAATTCGATCTCTCTTAGAGATTACAATGAGCATCGATAACTTCCAAATTGTGCTGATTAAAAAAGGGGCTGGCGCTAGCTCCTAACGGGATCAGTCGCACGCTCACTGCTCTCCTGGCTTCGGAGCACTAAAAGCCGATGAAGGCCTCAAAAAGAAACTCACAACCCGACAGCAGGTTGGAAAAAAACACCCATGCTGATGGGGAGAAAAAACAAAAAGCCACGACTAGATCAGCCGCGGTTCTCGGCAGATATAGGAGACCTGTTGCGGAGACCACATGGCGCGGCCGGTCCTAACATGGCGGCTGACCTCGACTTCACTGACAGCTCGGAGGACATCCCTTTACACAATCCTGAAAACCAAGAATATAAAGGGCCTCCACAGCCAACCGCTGGCTCCTCTCACCCGGACACCATGGAGATACTCAACAATCTCATCACAGACCTCCGCCAGATGCTCTCCGCTGAGATTTCCCAGGTGAGGGAGGACATCAGGGGGTTCACCGTTCGTCTCACAGCGGTGGAGCAGACCTCTTAAACCCACAGCACACAAGTCCTGGAATTTAGGAAGCAGGTCACAGACCTGACTGCCGCCCACACTACTCTCAACCTTCAAATAGCAGCCATGGAAGACAAGAGGCGCTGGAAGCATGTAAAAATCAGGGGCCTATCTGAAGAAATAGCCCCAGCTGAGCTCCCTCACTTCATTCACAGGCTGTTTGCCGCCCTCCTACCTCCCAGGCAAGCCAAAGGAATACAACTTGACAGAATGTTTTGCCTGCCCAAGCCATCAGTGCCCACAAGCACAGCTACCAGTGACCTATTGGTGAAATTCCAGAATGGACAAGAAAAGGCGGCCTTCATGAATGCCACAAAGGGAAAGAATCCATTCCGATTCGAAGACATGGACTTGTCCTTCTACACTGACCTCTCGCGTGCTACCCTGCTGTGGAGGAAATCCCTCCGTCCGTTGACAGCAACACTAACAACCAACGGAGTAAAGTATCGCTGGGGACTGACGCAAGTACTCATCATTCAACATCAAGGCACTGAACACAAAGTGACAGACATCACTGAAAGAGACACTGTCCTAGCAGCCTTCTGCCTCGTAGCCCCATCTACCTCCACCGCCTGGGACCCAGCTAAAGTACTCCCATTCATCCCTGCTGCACGATGAACACCTGGGAAGGAGACCACCTGACGCACCTGCTTAAATGTTATCTTAATTTTCCATATGTTGGGTGTAGCCCTCAGTTGAATGTTTACAAGTTGCATGCATGAGAGCATAGCCTGGGAATGCTAGCTCCCTTATGAATAACCACACACACCCAACTCGTCCCCTACTGTTCTCCATCTACACTGTCTCACTTGGTAAACTCATCAGCTCTTTTTGGCATCCACTATCATTTCTGTGCAAATGACACTCAAATTTATCCGTCCTCCCCTGACTTCTCACCACCATTATTTACTCGTGTCTCTGACTCTGCTATTTTGACTTGATGGCTGGCCATTTACTTAAACTGAACCTGTCCAAAACAGAACTTATCGTCTTCCCTCCCTCAAGTGTTGCTACTCCCTTGTCTGTGTCCCTCCAAGTCAATGGCGCTACCATTCACTCTACCTCTAAGGCTCGTTGCCTACGTGTTCTCTTTTACTCCCACCTCTCCTTCACCCCTCATGTCCAATCAATTGCCAAATCCTGCCACTTCCATTGCAAAAACATTGCGCGCATCCTACCCCATTTAACACCTGATACGGCAAAGGTGCTTGTCCATGCTGCTGTCCTCTCTCGTCTTGACTACTGTAATCCGCTTCTCAATGGTTCTTATGTGTTCCCAACTTGCCCCGTTACAGTCTATAATAAATGCGGGGGCGAGGCTCATCTTCCGGTCTGCCTGCACCTCTCACGGCTCCCCCTTTGTCAGTCCCTCCATTGGCTTCCCGTAAGATATAGGACTCAATTTAATATCCTGACACTTGCTTACAAATCTCTACATAATGCTGCTCTCACCTACTAATCCTCACTAATACACAAATATGTCCTGTCTAGGCCCCTACACTCTGCTGGAGACCTACGTCTAACCTCTGTTCGTACTCCTAGCTCTGAGGCTCACCTTTAAGATTTCTCTAGGGCTTCACTGTTCCTATGGAACGCCCTTCCCTTCTCTGTTAGACTCTCACCCAATCTCCACTCCTTCAAGAAATCTTTGAAAACTTACCTCTTTAGGAAAGCATATCAATTAAACTGTGAACTAGGAATCGACTGATTATCGGCCGATATTCGGTATTTCCGGCATTATCGGTATCGGCCAATATAGATACCGATATTGTAGAGAATAACTCCTAGGACCGCCGGGCCCATCACAAGCCCAGCGGTCCTGGGGGAGGGCCCGCAGGAAGCTGCTACTTACCTTCCCAGCAGCTCCCTGTCTAAAACTCGCTAGACCCGCGGCCGCAGAGCGTTGCCACGGGTTACCAGGGCAACGCTTTGCGCGGCACGCAGACCGCAAGATTTACACTGGGAAGGTAAGTAACAACTTCCTGCAGGCCCCCCCAGTACTTAACAAGCCACCGGACCACCAGGGAATACTATTAAAAAAAAAAAAAAGCCATTTAAATATTTAAAAAAAATTATTAAAATAAAAAATGCCCCTCCCCCCATTTTACACAAATTACATCTCTACACCAACACACACACACTGCGTTATATACACACACACGCTGCTTTATATATACACACACACGCTGCTTTATATATACACACACACGCTGCTTTATATATACACACACACGCTGCGTTATATACACACACACACGCTGCTTTATATATATACACACACACGCTGCTTTATATATATACACACACACGCTGCTTTATATACACACACACACGCTGCATTCACTATATATACAGGGAGTGCAGAATTATTAGGCAAGTTGTATTTTTGAGGATTAATTTTATTATTGAACAACAACCATGTTCTCAATGAACCCAAAAAACTCATTAATATCAAAGCTGAATATTTTTGGAAGTAGTTTTTAGTTTGTTTTTAGTTATAGCTATGTTAGGGGGATATCTGTGTGTGCAGGTGACTATTACTGTGCATAATTATTAGGCAACTTAACAAATAACAAATATATACCCATTTCAATTATTTATTATTACCAGTGAAACCAATATAACATCTCAACATTCACAAATATACATTTCTGACATTCAAAAACAAAACAAAAACAAATCAGTGACCAATATAGCCACCTTTCTTTGCAAGGACACTCAAAAGCCTGCCATCCATGGATTCTGTCGGTGTTTTGATCTGTTCACCATCAACATTGCGTGCAGCAGCAACCACAACCTCCCAGACACTGTTCAGAGAGGTGTACTGTTTTCCCTCCTTGTAAATCTCACATTTGATGATGGACCACAGGTTCTCAATGGGGTTCAGATCAGGTGAACAAGGAGGCCATGTCATTAGATTTTCTTCTTTTATACCCTTTCTTGCCAGCCACGCTGTGGAGTACTTGGACGCGTGTGATGGAGCATTGTCCTGCATGAAAATCATGTTTTTCTTGAAGGATGCAGACTTCTTCCTGTACCACTGCTTGAAGAAGGTGTCTTCCAGGAACTGGCAGTAGGACTGGGAGTTGAGCTTGACTCCATCCTCAACCCGAAAAGGCCCCACAAGCTCATCTTTGATGATACCAGCCCAAACCAGTACTCCACCTCCACCTTGCTGGCGTCTGAGTCGGACTGGAGCTCTCTGCCCTTTACCAATCCAGCCACGGGCCCATCCATCTGGCCCATCAAGACTCACTCTCATTTCATCAGTCCATAAAACCTTAGAAAAGTCAGTCTTGAGATATTTCTTGGCCCAGTCTTGACGTTTCAGCTTGTGTGTCTTGTTCAGTGGTGGTCGTCTTTCAGCCTTTCTTACCTTGGCCATGTCTCTGAGTATTGCACATCTTGTGCTTTTGGGCACTCCAGTGATGTTGCAGCTCTGAAATATGGCCAAACTGGTGGCAAGTGGCATCGTGGCAGCTGCACGCTTGACTTTTCTCAGTTCATGGGCAGTTATTTTGCGCCTTGGTTTTTCCACACGCTTCTTGCGACCCTGTTGACTATTTTGAATGAAACTCTTGATTGTTCGATGATCACGCTTCAGAAGCTTTGCAATTTTAAGAGTGCTGCATCCCTCTGCAAGATATCTCACTATTTTTGACTTTTCTGAGCCTGTCAAGTCTTTCTTTTGACCCATTTTGCCAAAGGAAAGGAAGCTGCCTAATAATTATGCACACCTGATATAGGGTGTTGATGTCATTAGACCACACCCCTTCTCATTACAGAGATGCACATCACCTAATATGCTTAATTGGTAGTAGGCTTTCGAGCCTATACAGCTTGGAGTAAGACAACATGCATAAAGAGGATGATGTGGTCAAAATACTCATTTGCCTAATAATTCTGCACTCCCTGTACACACTTCATCCACTATATGTGGCATGTATATTTTATGCATTTACCTTTAGAATTCGTTTATTTTTTCAAAATGGTAAATGTACAGAATATCGGCAAGTTATCAGCTATCTGCCTGAAAGTTCACAGATTATCGGTATCGGCTCTAAAAAATAAATATCGGTCGATCCCTACTGTGAACAACTTTCCCTCCCTGCACCCTGATTCCTCTCCTGAAACTGTCATCAAAACAAAACCATAAGCCCTCAGTGAATACTATCCTAGCAACCTACTTTTCTACCCTACCCTTACCTTTTGTGTCGCTATACCCCACTCCCTCTAGCATGTAAGCTTATTGAGCAGGGCCCTCAATCCTTCTGTTCCTGTGTCCAATTCGTCTGGTTACAAATTCGTGTCTGTCAATCCACCCATTGTACAGCGCTGTGTAACTTGTTGGTGCTTTATAAATAATAATACTCTTGACTTACCTACTTTATGTGAAAACATTAAACACAAAATAAAGATTGTTAAAAAAAAAATAAATAAAAAAAAATATGGTGGCAAATTGCTAAATATTGTTTACATGCATTTAGGAAGTGAATGGGTGGAAAAACTCCATAACATTCTCATAATCTCACAGAATTCCTTTACACATTTGATTGTCTATTCCAGTGTTTCCCAAACCAGTCCTCAAGGCCAATTTACAGTCCAGGTTTTGTCAGTATCTCCATTGGAGTAAAACAAAGATACAATAATAAAATAAAAAATACATAAATCCTGGATTCTTGGTGGTCTGTAAGGACTGGTTTGGGAACCACTGGTCTACTATATGTACTTGTTCTACCATGACATATTTTATTTAAAGTCACTGTCACTCTTTTTTTTTTTTTTTTAAATGTTACAACACTGCCAACTAAGCCATTTAAAAAAAAAAAAAAAAAAATTAAAACATTTCTAAACAACTTGTATTAGCATTGTATGCTTGGCTGTTACATGTACATCCAGTGGATTGTGGAAGGAATGTCTGAGCATGCAGATTTCTTTTTTCCCCCTTATGTGGGTTTTATTTACTAAACTGGGAATTGTGGTTAATTAACAAAGAAAATTTCTTGTTTTAGATGTAAATAGCAGATCTGGGAAAATAGAATTAGAATGTTTGGTTTTCCAACTCTATTGCTTTGTCTTAGTTTCCTACTCTATTGTCAGAAATTCTAGGTGGTAAAAAAATGATTTGGAGTAAATTGCTCTGTGCTTAAAGGGACACTCTAGGCACCCAGACCACTGGAGTGGTCTGGGTGCCAACTCCCACGACCCTTAACCCTGCAAGTGTAATTATTCCAGTTTTCATAAACTTCAATATTTACCTTGCAGGGTTAAGTCCTCCTCTAGTGTCTGTCTATCAGACAGCCACTAGAGGGACTTCCATGTTCTTAGAACACGAAAAGTGTGTTATACGACGCTGGACGTCCTCACGCTATGTGAGGACCTCCAGCGTCCCCGAAATCCCCATAGGAAAGCATTGAATAATACTTTGCTATGGGGAGGTCTAATGCGTGTGTGCGGCCATTGCCGCGCATTCGCAGTAGGACTCCCCCGCTGACTGACGGCGGGGGAGGAGAGTAGGCGGAGCCTGACCTGTGCCGAGGGACATCTGTCCTGGACTCCGGTAAGTCACTGAAGGAGTTTTAACCCCTTCAGCAACTTGGGATGTGGGGTGGGAGGGAGAGGGGCACTACAGGGTCCTGCAGTGCCAGGAAAACTAATGTTTTCCTGGCACCGGAGAATTAATTTAATGATTTTGAAGAGGTTCCAGAGGTTATAAAGTTTAATTTCAGTTGTCTCAAGAGCAGAACATTTGCTGTCTGTATTCATGTCATTATCTTTTACCCATAGCTCCCCACATCTGGTACAGGTGAGAGAGCGAATTCGGATTAATGGGCAGCCAATCAGCAAGGAACTGTTCAGCAAATACTTCTGGCAGGTGTACAACCGTCTGGAAGAAACCAAGGTGAATGGCACAGGGGAGATGATGTACGGGGAGGGTTAGTGCCTGTATTTGTAAATAAATGACTTCTGTCTATTAATAACCGCGTGTCAATATTCTGTAATAACAGCAGCTGTCTTGCTTTCTCACAATTAACACCGGTGAGAGAATTCCCATATGTTTGGGCTCGTTGGAGGTTGCTAGTAATCTCTCAATTGATAAAGCACCTTTCTGTAAAAATCACTAATATTTTTATGTAACCGCTTCCATTTCTTGGAAGATCATATATCTTTTAATTACATTTTCTGAAAAGAATTTCCATATTGTTAATCTAGGTGTTTAATCAGTAAACTGCAAATTGTAGAGAATTAAAAATACAATTGTAAAATGTAGTCTAAAGTGGCCAAGCTGTAGAATTTTCTTTGACTTTGAAGTGGTCTGTGTGCAGTACTCCTGGTGTGTTAAACATTGCTGTTTAGGATTAAACCTCTCTCTAATGGCTGTCTCCTTGATAGCCACTAGATCGTGCTTGCACAGTAAGAACTGAGTCTGACTCTGTTCTTTCTTGACTGGTAGAAGCATTTGATTAGAGCATGGGTCGTCAACCTGGTCCCTACCGCCCACTAGTGGGCGTTTCAGGATTCCAGGTGAGCGGTAGAGATTTCAGAGATTGGGTGGGCGGGAGGGCGAGTGCGAGCCGGCGGTACCCCTGTGGCCGGGTACCGCCGTCACCATTTGCGGCCCCAGCCCACGTGGCAAACCGCCGGGGCCGCCGTCCAAGGGGTCCATCGGGTGGCCCATGCTGTCAGCGCGACCGGGCCCCCTGTTATTACATCACACGCTGGGAGGAAGTGACTGCGCGTCACTCCTCCCAGCTAACAAACAGATCGCGCGGGAGGAAGACCAGGGAGTCAGAGTAGAAACTCTGAGTCCCATGCACCTGAGCCACCACTGGACCCCAGGGAAAGTCACCCTCCTGCACCTAAAAGGTAGGAAACAGGAGGGTGACTAAAATATTTTGTGTGTGTTTGTGTGTTTGTGTGTCTATCTGTATATATATGTGTGTATGTATGTGTTGTGTCTATGTATGTCTTATGTGTGTGTCTTTGTATGTGTATGTATGTGTGTGTGTGTGCGTGTGTTTGTATGTGTGCCTGTCTGTTTTTCTGTATGTATGTGTCTTTCTATGTGTGTGTGTGTGTGTGTGTATGTATGTATGTATGTATGTATGTATGTATGTATGTATGTATGTGTGCCTGTCTGTTATAGTGGACTATAGTAAGTGGGCTACCTAGCTAAGCCTTCCTACTGGGCATTGCTATAAGGAAGGTTAAAAAATAGAAAAAAGGGATAAAAAAGGTGGGGAGGGGAATTGAGGAGATGAGATGAGCTGACGCACAGATGAGAAATCATATTATGCGCAAACAGAGAAGTCGTCTGAATATCACCGAAAGAGGAGACCTTTGTTTGTTCCTTACGAAAATCGAACCAGATATCAAATATTTAGTTTTGCAGCATCAACCTCAAGGATCTCATTAATCACTAGTAAAGGTAATTTCAATTTACTTTGTTTTCTCATTAAACTTTATAAAGTTAAAAACATAAACATGCATTAAGTAGAAATAAAAAGATAAATGTACGTACATTTTTTTTTTTTAAAACAGCCTCCTTTCTAAAAAAAATATTCCGCACTTGCGCGGAAACTGGTGGGTGGTAAGGAAACTGCCACTAGAGGGCACTTCCGTGTCCCTAGCACAGGAGAACCTCCAGCGTCGCTCATTTCCCCATAGGAAAGCATTTTCAATGCTTTCCTATGGGGAGCTCTAATGTGCATGCACGGCATTACCGCGCATGCGCATTAGGTCTCCCCGGCCGGTGGGCGGGATCAGTCTCGCCCACCGGCTGACACAATCACAGGGAAGAGCGGCGGCGGAGGAAGAAGGGTGGGTGGGAGGGAGAGGGGACCTGCTGTGAGAGGAAAATTGATTATTTTTCCTGGCACTGGAGTTTCCCTTTAACCAAAGTGTGTTTTTTTTTTTTTTTTTTTTTAAAGAAACTGCACTAATTACCTTTGTGTCTACCGGACTGTTAGGTGACTTTTAGTCACCTAATCGGTGATGGACGTCCTCACACTATGCATGAGGACTTCCAGCGTCACCCGATTCTCCATAGGAAAGCATTGTATAATGCTTTCATGTGAAGAAATCTTAATGTGAGCGAGGCTATTTCCGCACATGCGCATTAGATCTCCCCCCGGGTGACGTTGGCCGAGGAGTAGCGAAGGTGGACCCAAGCCACTGCCGAGGGACATCAACGCTGGATCTAGGTAAGTGACAGAAGGGTTTTTTAACACTTTCTGCACCAAGGGGAACGAGGGAGGGGGGAGCTATAGTGTCATGAAAACAAGTTTGTTTTCCTGTCACTATAGTTTCCCTTTAAGTCCAGAATGCTTCTAGAAGAAGAATTTGATTGGACAAAATGGTCATCAAGCCTGTTAACATCAGCGTGGGAAAAAGAGGCTGTTTTGGTGCTTAAATGGAAACTATAGTGTAAGATAAGAAAAATTGTTTTCCTAACACTAAAGTGCCCACTCCCTCATGGGGATTCTTTGTTATGGATTTCTGGGTGACACTGGATGTCCTCATCCCGAATGTGAGGAAGTCCAGCGTCAGTTAGGCAACCAAAAGTCACCTAACTATTTGAAGGTCCCTCTAGTGGCTGTCTGGCAGACAGCCACTAGAGTTGGAATTAACCCTGCAAGGTAATTATTGCAGTTTATTAAAAACTGCAATAATTACCAGTGCAGGATTAAACGGACAGGGACGCTGCACCCAGTCCCCTTCAATGAGCTTTAAGTGGTCTGGGTGCCTATAGTGTCACTTTTAATTGCAAGTACGTAAAGGGGTAATTTAAAATTTGTTTTATTTTAATAATTTATTTTGTCATTTTTGTATCTTTTTTTATTAAACAACCCAACTAACACTATAGATTAACAATAAAAAAATTGCATCCCCACCACCAGGGTTCCTTTTAACTGTAAGATGTGAGAAGGTTTCAAAGATATCTTGTCTGTCCAATGCTGCAATGGCATAAGCTATTTACGGTTGATAAAGAGGCACTTTATTTTAGTTTCACATGGTTATTTACGAAACACTGAATTGTAAGCAGTTGACCTGGGGGATTTTTGGTCAACAATAGCAGAGGGCGGAGGAATAGTTGGGGAATTCTTACTGTTCTAAAACGTGCAATTATCTTGTCAATTCCGAATTTTTTTTTTTAGATTTACGGGGTTTGTCTCTGAAGTGTGAATTTCATATTTTGGGCCAAAAGCCAAACGTGAAGAATTCTTCAAACCAGTTCTACTATTTTGGAGTAAAATTTCAAATTCACTTGGGCCTAACACTTTTGTAAATAACCCTATGCATGTGTTAATACTTTATTGTTTCTGTTAGATGTATTGTAATTACTAATCTAGAGATTCTGATGTCCTGCTGATATACACCTCTCTGTTAGGAACACGAGGACAGCCCCATGCCGGCATATTTCCGTTTCCTTACCATCATGGCTTTCCATGTATTCCTCCAAGAAAAGGTAAGTTTATATGACATAGTGCCCCCTTATGATGCTCTGCCTGGGCTATCCTACATCTTTCCATTTTTCTTGTAGGTTGACCTAGCTGTGCTGGAAGTTGGTATTGGTGGAGCATTTGACTGCACGAACATTATCAGGTCAGTAATACTTTTTACAATGCACCGAAGAGGCCACACCACCTTTTCAAAGATGATGATGGTTTATGTTAAAGAAGGAAATGCCTTTTTAGGAAGTGTCTTAAGAATTTGGCTATTGATATTTAGTTACTTTATCTATCATATTTCGGCTACCGTTTGTGCTGCTGAATTATTTTGAGAGATTTGGCAGATTCTAACAGCTTAATGAACGGCACCCAAACGGCCAATCTGATCATGAATACTCTTTGTTTGGTCAAATTTCCGTAAAGAACCGCTATAAGCACCAAGACCATTTCATCTTTATGAAGTGTCCTCAGTGCTGTGATCCTGTCGTCTGATTCCACTACATCTCCAGTGCTCGTCTCCCTGACAGTCCCTAGATGGTGCACCCACATCAGAGTCAGACTTGGCTCTTTAAGTTTGTCATCTCCATGCATGCTTCCTCTGCACAATGGCCTTGGCTCTGCTGCTCCTCATAGAGAAGTATTGAATCCAATGCCTCTCTATTAGAAGCATTTGATTGGCTTAACACAGCACTTGCAGCGCATGCTGTCTTCGGCCACAATGCTTTTCAATAGGAAGCATTTGATTGGGCAACAAGTTGTCACGCTAATGTCGAGTAAAGGGGCAGATCTGTCATTACGGTCATAGTACTGAGGGAAAAAAAGGTAAGTAAAACATTATTAGCGTTACAGATTTTTTTTTTTTTTAATTCTTTATTTTATTTGTGCATAGCTTGAACAATCATGCTTGTACCGCCACAATAGCAGGTGCAAGCAGGTTTGAAAACATACATTAACATAGGTATGGCATTGAAATACATAGCACAGTTTTTTTTTTTTATATTCAAGATAGGAGACATGTTAAAGGTTAAACCATGGATAACACACACGCTTTTGCAGGCTAGTCTCGCTTAGCAGTTAGGTAACTTATATTGAATCTGCGCTTCGCTGCCTGATAGCAGGCTTGAGAGATGGAACAAAGGCAAAAACTTAAAGCATAGTTATACAATACTGTGACGTAGGATTAAACTGCGCACATTTTTAAATTGTTAGAGTAATGATGAGTAAGTCTGGTTAGTAAATGCGAGTAACAATAGCAAGATGTGTGTTTACGAGAAATAAATTGACATGACTGTCATAAATTATTAACCTGCTGAATTTCTAAACATTATGATAAGCAAAATTAACTTTCTTTCAAAAGACACGAGTAGAAGAGGTGCAATGAAACGTTATGCCTAGCTAGAAACATAGCTATTGTGATCATGCTTAATAAACAGTTGTAGGTTAGAAAGGTACGTACGCTAAACTAACTTATGTATCAGAATAGTGAGGCTATACATAGAAAAGCTTAGCTTATAGTCACTATCGATATCCCCCCTGCGGTTCCCAGCATAAACTAAAGGGCTATTGAATTGCATGCATACAGGTATAAGAGTTCAACCTCGGGTGTTAAGAGGTGAGGAGTATTGGGCACTGTGCCTGACATTGAGTCCCAGTCTTGTATGGGTCAGCCGATGCCTTGTTGGGGCTGGGTGTGCTCCCCCTGCGCCGGTAGTTGCAGCGATGTTGCGTGCCGCATTCCCTGTGGTCCAGCAGTGTAGGAGAAGAGAGTCTCAGTGAGGGCAGAGGACCTAGTCGGTATGTATAATGTGGCTCCAGTTGTGGTTCCCACATGGCTGTAGCTGTGGCTGTAGATTTGTGCTGCTGTTGCCGCCATTTTAGGCCTCTTGGTCTGCCACTTGCATGTGTGGATGAGTTGGCCATTGCTCCTCTTAGGCTGGGTCATTGTCGGGGAGCAAGGCGGTGTTCTGCGCTGTGCTTTGGGGGTCCCCTTAAGATGCTTTGCCTGTGCCTGGTCGCGTTCCCTCTTGGTGTGACTCTGTTCACCCGACATCGGGTTGGTCGTTTTCAGGCGCCTGTGGGGCCCAGCAAGGGAACTTACGGCGTGTGCCGGGACATTCTCTGGGGCCTCTCGTAGTGGGCCGTGTGGCGTAGCTTCAGGCTGGGTCCCCGGTTCCGGGGGCCACTCAAGCTGTTCCAGCCTCTCCCAGAAGGCGTCAAAAATGCAGGTGAGTCTGAGCTCCGTTTCTCTCTCGGCCTTGCAGAGGGTTGAGGTGTGCGTGTCGTTCTCCATTTTGTCAGCCACACCAGCGACCTCCAGTCCGCCCGATCTGTTCAACCGCTTATCACCTGCTGAGGTGACCGTGAGGGGGTGGACCGGGATAACCCCCACTGGTCCAGGGGGGGGGAGAACAAGGGCCCGGAGTCCTACATCTGGCTGGTTCAGGCAGCAGGGAAGCGGCCGTCCTCCCTGTGCCCGCCATGCTGGTAGGCCTCGCTGTGAGTTTGGGTACGCCTGTATAACATCGTCGCTTGAGTGGTGTCTGTGTGTGCGCCCCGGTATCACCCGTCGCTTGGTGGCCATTAAACTGCAATTTAGTGCCTTTCAAGCGGCTAGAATCCATTGTTTTAGCCCCAAGCAGCGGGAGCTGGTGAGGCATGCTTCCTCTCTGCTCAGCGGTCAGGCCCCGCCCCTCAGCGTTACAGATTTTAAGGAAAGGGGGCAGGGTATCACAGGTCACTACATTGGCAGGGTCCTTATTGTCCTAAAAACAAAATTATAGATTTTTGCCACTATAGTTTTCCTTTAATAAAGACCAAAAAACTGCACCCATAATCTTGGGGTCCTCTAATTGTAAGCTACCCTAATGCGACCACCAACTTAATTCCTTGCCCTTTACCTGCCAAACATCCCACTCTTACCCGAATAGCATTATTATTGGGAAATGTGGCTGCTGTTTTGATAACAATAGGGTGGAGATAGATTGGACATATTTTCACTTATATTGCGTCTTTCTTCCTAAAAAAAGGGACCGTTGTGAGCGTGCAATTCAACAAGTTGTTTATTTTTTTGTTATTTATAGAATAATAGACTCATTAATACATATACTCAAGAATAAATTCTATAGACTAAGTTTCACAGTTCAATGAATGCCAAAATGTTAAAATATTTAAATCCGGTCAACAAATCGAGAAAACAAGCGATAGGGTGACTGAAAAAAACTTTATCAGCGGAATAGAAATAACATAATTTATCCTTTTAGATTTGTTACTTGGCCCATAAACCCCTATTTATCTTAAAAAGCATGTATCCATTTAGTTCTCTCAAGAAAAAATATATTTTATTCGCTTCATGACTCAATTAGTTCCAGTCTTTGAACATTACAGCAGCATGTCTCCTTATTGAGCTGTCGGGTGTGCTGTAACTTTATCTAATTTACGGTGAAATTCTCTAATTTTCTCTTTGGGTGGAGATAGATTGCACATACATTTCACTTATATTGTATGTTTTTGTTTTTTTTCCCAAAAAGTGGACCGTTGTGAGCATGCATATTAACCCAGGCCACTCAATTTGCTATGGACTTTAAAATGCATTGTCATATTCTTTGTCCACCCTTTCCATATGAGGGAAGGGAGGGAAAAGTTAATTTTTATTTTGTTCTTGCCTTTTTCTCATTTTATATTTCATATAAAATATACAAAATTTAACCAATTTCTGACCACATGACGGTCTATGCCGTCATGGATTGCAGACCTTTCATACCCACTGACTGCATAGACAATCATGCAGTAAGGTACCAGCAGGGGGTAAAACTGAGGGGGAAAAAAATGTTTGTTTTTTTATAAATAACATCTTCCTATTTAATATTGCATTATGTATGCATATCGAGTATCAAACGAAAGCCCTATTTCTTTGTTTAAAAAAACCAAACAGTAAGTGGTAAATTAGTGGTAGAATGAACACGTGGCAAAAGCACTTAAAGGCCTTGGTCACACATGCATTGGGTCTCAAAGTCTTGTTCCTTACAAAAGAGGCCCTCTAAGCACCTGACTGCTACATTTCCTAATTTTGGTCATGGTACTATAAGATAAGACTGGTAGTTGTCCCTATTTTTTTCTGACTCTCTGGCACTCTTAGCGTCTCAATGTCATCCAGGTTGGACAAATTAGACTCCATAACGGAAAAGTGTAGTTTGCTGTGAATGTAATACATTTTGTGTTGGTCCACTTGAGGTCAAACCTGGTGATATCAAGTTAACTAAATCAGATCCTAGTTGAATGGATCGGTGGAGGTGTGGGGACATGAAGGATTAAGGAACAGAGCTTGACATGTTCTGGTTTAATACAAAAGGTACGGATCAATGTCGTTTCTGTTGAGTAGCTCGGAGGGAAGAGAGATATTTGAGAAAAGACAAAATAAAGTGGAAACTTTTGAAGGTGGAAATGCGGTTGTGGGCCAAATGTCCAAGAAGATTGTGGAAGAAAGACAAAAATGTGTGACGTAAAGAGGGTTATGTTACTTTTATAATAAAAATAACTTTTTAATTTTTTTTTTTTTTTTAAAGGAGGGAGATGTAAAGAAGAATGAGGATAAGGAGAGTGGGTGACGAAAGATAAGAACAAAAATAGCATGAAGACATAGGATCAGAAAGGATGTTCAAATGGGGTCCATTTTGTTTAGAGGAAGACATTCTACATATTTTTACTGATTGGAGGTTGGCTAGGGTTATATAAGGGGTATGATTGTTCATTGAAGACCGTAGATGTTGTGGGGTAAAAGATGATCTGTAACTTTAATAAAAGCTTCCATCTCCAGTCTCCAGTAGAGTGTAGACGAAGAAAGAAATGGAAGGTGTCAAGGGGTGATTGAATAAAGAGACCTGTAAAGTGTATTCAGCCCAATGATATCTTTTAATGAATGCCCAGTAATTAATGATTACACAATCTACTCCATAGAATATTGAGACTTTTTTCCCCTGTTTTTTTAAGCCTGGGTTACAAAGGTTCGGTACAAAGTGTTTTTTTTCTTTGCTTCTTATTTTCTCAATATCTGCTTTGTGCAGGAAACCTGTTGTGTGTGGTATCGCTTCTCTTGGAATTGACCATACGAGCATCTTGGGAGACACAATCGAGAAGATAGCCTGGCAAAAAGGAGGTATATTTAAGGTATGGAGCAAGGTGTAAACTTACCGATGCTATGCACCATATTAATAATCTGTCTGTCCCCTGTAGTTAGTAGTGGAGTAAACTGAATTTTGTATGTTGTATCAATTGGTTACCAACAACATTCTTATAAAGTATACCCTTCTTTAGCCCTTCTGTTTTTGTATGTATGTGTACATACAAATATAATTTTATTATTTGTAGATCCATATTTAAAAAGTGGAAAAATATTTGTCTGCAACGATCTGGCTTTAGAAAAGAAAAAAAAGGAAAAAATAATTTTGTGTGTGTGTGTGTGTGTGTGTGTGTGTATGTATATATGTGTGTGTGTGTGTGTGTGTGTGTGTGTGTGTGTGTGTATATATATATATATATATATATATATATATATATATATATATATATATATATTATGTGTGTGTGTGTGTGTGTGTGTGGAGACATTAATATATATGTATAATTTATTTTTTGTCAGAGTTAAATCTTGTATTATTCCTTTTAATTAAAAGCATTATATGTCAGTGAAAAGTGTACTATAGCCTGTTGGCCCTGATTTAACATGCCCTCTCTCTTAGCCAGGTGTCCCTGCATTCACTGTGCCACAGCTGGCTGGACCTCTGGAGGTGCTGAAGAGCAGAGCCCAAGAGATTGGGGTAAGTGTTTTTTGTTTTTGTTTTATCCTTCCTCTGCAGCTTCTCCTTGTAATGGACCATTTGCCTGGCTTTGAGTAAACATCTCTGTCTTTACAGTGCCCTCTCTATATGTGCCCTGACTTTGCGGAATACGAGGATGACAGCCTATCGATCCAGCTAGGCCTGGCAGGGGAACACCAGAGAGTAAACGCCACCCTGGCATTGCAGTTATCACACACATGGCTACAGCGACGGGGATTTCAAGGTAGTTTATTTTTATTTCTCTTGTACTCTTAAAGGGATTCTATAATGCCAGGAAAACAAAGCCTGGCACTATAGATTTCTAAGGTGCCCCCCTTCAATTACTTACCTGAATCCAGCGCAGATGTCCCTCTGCACTGTCAGGCTCCTCCCCCGACGGTGGAGATCTAATGTGCATGTGCGGCAATGGCTGTGCTCGCTTTAGACCTCTCTGTAGGAAAGCATTAATCAATGCTTTCCTATGGAGAAAAATCTGACGTCGGAGGTCCTCATGCAGAGCCAAAGATCCGTTTTGATTCAGGAAACTCCGCCAGTGGCTGTCTGCTAGACTGGCACTGTGAGCAGACTTAGAGCATCTCTGTAACTCCAAAGTTTAACATTACAGCACTAAGTGCAAAAGGGACCCAGCATCCAGACCACTTCAATGAGCTGAAGTGGTCTGGGTGAGAGTCCCTTTAACTAAATAGCTAATCTCTTCTCCTTATTTTTAGGCATTGGTGAGCACAAAAGTCCCAAACAGATTCCTTCTGTAAAGTGGCCTTTTCCATTAGCGCCGGTGTTTCGCCCCAGTGTTCCAATGGTTGAAGGTAAGAAACACAGTATGAAATTTATAACTTCACAAACGTTCATTAAAACGTATGTTTTGTCCTGGTTTTCTGATCGTGACTGTTTAAAGGCATCAAATTGTCTTCTCTTTCAAAATTTAATTTAGTCCTCTGGGTGTAGGCAATGACAAAAGAAACCGTGGCGTTTTATAAAATTGGAAACCACTTTAAAACCCATTTTACACATGAACCTATCTTCAACATGGCACTTTTTAAATAATAAAATAAAGGGGCACTCCCCTCCCACTTAAAGCAGAGCGGTTGCTGATACTTTTCTAACCTCCTTTACACACCTCCAATAAATAATATAGTATAGAAATAAACTGTTACCAGCACTAAAGTTTTTTCGCAAGTATGAGTGGAAATGTTGCTTTGTACCTGTTGTGCACATTAGTGAAAGGACATGGAAGACATACTGTAGTATTGTTGGTTGCCGATTGTTGTCTTTGTGCATGTCTTGCTGAAAGCCACTAGGTGGCAAGATACTACTACTATTTTAATGTGAACTGTCTAGCCGAGACAGTCTTTGCTTTCCCCAACATTGTGCATCTGGTCAATATAAGAATTCGTATATAGTGAATTTCTAATTATTTTGGTTATTTTAAATATCCTTTAATAGCACAGCTTTGAGTTAAAGTGTCTTAGCCCCTCTGGTGAATGTATTGGAGCTTTATATTTAAAAATGCTTTATTTCTTTTTATAACTGCGTTAAAACTTAAAAAAAAAAAAAAATCTGTTTAGCTTTCTCTTTTAATAATTTTTTTACATGCCTCAGTTATCACAATGTCCCATCTCCCTTTGCAGGATTACAGAACACAGTTTGGCTGGGACGCAGCCAAATCCTGCAGAGGGGCCCTATATCCTATTATATCGATGGAGCGCACACCAACAGTAGTGTGAAAGCCTGCGTCAGATGGTTCCACCAGGTGGCGCTCAATGAAGAGAGAGCTGGAATGTAAGAACTGGCTACAATATAATACTTGCTTTCTTGCTCCTAAATGACTGATCGATACGGATCTCTAACCTTAGTGGTGTTATTGGCATAAGAGAAATAGACTACTTTTTCTTATGGGGAGTGTGATTTTTGGCAATCGGCGGAGCTTAAGCTAAGATCTGTTTTTCATTGCCAGCGTAACAAACTCACAGTCCATCAGTCAGAGGAATCCCAGATATCATATAAGAGTAGCAATGCCCGGGAACTGAGATCTGGCACAAGAAAGAAAGGATAATATAAATTAGGGATCGGCCGATATTGATTTTTTTTTTTTTTAGAGCCGATAATCGATAAACTTTTAAGCCGATAACTTACCGATACTCTGTACATTTACTATTTTGAAAAAAGAAACGATTTCTACACAAATCTCCTGTTTACTGAACATGTTTATTTAAAAAAATTTGTAACTAATCTTTTATTTTTTTATTAAATGACCACTATAGTGCCAGGAAAACAAACTTGTTTTCCTGGCACTATAGGGTCATATTAAGTCCCCCCCCCTTTCGCTGGGCTGAAGGGGTAAAAACCCCTTTAGCCACTTATCTTTGTCCAGCGCTGGGCTCCCTCGGCGCTGTGGAACTTTCCTCCCTCTGCCGGCGTCAGCGCACTCCTTCAAACTGCCCATAGGAAAGCATTGATTTTCACAATGAGAATCGCGGAAGCGGCTCTAGCGGCTGTCCGTGAGACAGCCACTAGAGGCTGGATTAACCTTCAGTGAAACATAGCCGTTTCTCTGAAACTGCTGTGTTTTCAGCTGCAGGGTTAAAACTAGAGGGACCTGGCACCCAGACCACTTCATTGAGCTGAAGTGGTCTGGGTGCCTAAAGTGGTCCTTTAAGTGGTAAATGCACAAAATATACATGCCTGTCATTTATTATTTTATCAAGAATATTTAGTGTTCCTCTCCCTTTACCTCCGCTCCTTTCCTTTCCTTTCCCGGTCCCTTAGTGTACCTCTCTCCCTCCCTGTCCTTTAGTGAGTGTGTGTGTGTCCTCCTTAGTAGTCCTCTCCCCTCCCTGGTGTGCCTCATTATCTCTCTTGTACTGCGCTGCGCTTGGCCATGCTACAGGAGCTTCAGTTTCCTGTACCCGACCAGACTGACAGGAAGTGCACGGGTACAGGAAACTGAAGCTCCTGTACTGCGGTCGGCTCTGCTCCGCTCAACCACGCTACACTGAGTGACTGGTGGGGGGGGAATGCTGTGAGCTTCCTTTCTTCTGGTCACTCAATTCTTGCGCCCCCAGAGCCATTGCGCCCTAAGATGGTCGCCTTATGGACGTGCTGGGACACCGCCGCCTCTCACAATATTGGCAATAACGGTATCAATAGTGGCCGATACTGATGTTTGCCAAAATCCGTAATATCGGCCGAACAGATTTATCGGTCTATCCCTAATAGAAATAAAGGCAAGTGTTAATGGTGGGGTATAATTATTAAGATACAAGGGGCATAGGAAAGGTTAATTTGAAGGGAAAATAAAGACCATGCTGCTTTTATTAACTTGGACCTAGAAGGATGGAAAGCAATCTACTAGTGGCCTATCTAGTTAATATTTTATGAACTTGCTCTGTAGGATATTTCTATCCCAAATATATCTGTTTTATTTGTTCTCTACCTAATCTGTTAAATCTATATCTTGTCATTGTATCTGTCTTTAGCTATTCTATAAGGGTTATTTATCAAAGTGTTTTGTTCTAAAAAGTGGTGAAAAAAGGGAAAGGGGGAGGAGTCACCAATGGAATGTATCAGTTTGGACCACTGGTATCCACAGTGATTGCCTCCCTTATAGTGTTTTAGACCACTTTTTAGAACCGTGCGGGGGGGAAATGACCAGTCAGAGGCCTCTCCATGAGAAGTATCATTTCTGGAGTTGTGAGCTCGCGCAATGAGCTGTAGTTTAGAAGATCGTTGAGAAGGTAAGAAGGCAAACTGGCTGTAGCACAGCGTGCATGCCACTTCTGTTAGCTCTGTGGAAGAAAATCTCCCTTGTCGTCTGGGTAGCAGGGAAGTGTTTCTGTCCCTGTTTTAAAAGCTTCCTATGTACATTGAAATTGGTACTTTTTATAAAATGTCAAAGAATCCAAGCCCTTCAGCGAACTGGAGTGTTCCTTTAAGCTTTCTGCTGTAATTAATAACTCTGAGTTGTAGAGAGGATATTATTAATGTAGCATGTGCAGCAAAGTATCTTAAACCTAATCTTCCTGTTCGGAGATCTAGCTGATTGCAGGTTAACACATAGCTGTACATACTTAGACCCATATGGAATGTTCCCTTTCAATATTTGACCCTATGCTTTTCTCTTGGCAGGGGTGCTGTTATCAGAGTACTAGTGTTTAACGCTACAGGGGAAAGAGATACGGCTGCTCTAATGAAGCTTCTACAGGTAAGTTTCATTGTTTTAGAAAACCATGTGGCTGGATATGGATAGAATTCAGCTCTACTAGATCTTTGCAATAACCATTAGCTAACCAATTAGTCCTGTTGTACTCCTGGATAATGATACTATACCCCATTCTATTTACCATGACACCTGTCAGCGGCTTTTCAAAATTGAGATGGTAAAAAAACAGTTAAAACCAGCACAATACTGGGTTTTAACACCCTTAATAAATAAGCAAATAACTGCCTTGAGTTGTGGTCTAAAACCGTAAATGGTACAAGCGCACAATTTAGTTGCTTACATTTCTTAAGTGTTCCAGAACTCCAGATTTATTTTTTTTTGATTATTTTTTTTCAGCATGGTTAGTTAAGTTGCTATGTTAATTTTATATTTATTTCTTATACTTATTTCAATATAAAGAGTTGTTTATAAAAGTGAAAATACAAAGTCAATTTTGAATGAGTTCTGGTATTTCCTGACCCAGCTAATTATCTGTATTTTTCAGCCCTGCCATTTTGATTACGCCTTGTTCTGCCCTAATATCAGTGAAGTGTCTGGTGTGGACATTGCAGGTTAGTATCTGAAAGCTGTCCAGACCACTTTATATGTATACTCCTAAAGGGAAATAAAATATGTACGGGCCTATTCACTAAGCACCAAATTGCAAAATTCAGGCTAAAATATGTGTGTTGGAGAATTTTTCAAATTGACTGTAGTGACCTACATTCTGCAATATAGTTTCTAAATTTACTACAATTTGGCATTTAGCAAATCAATCGCAGCGGGTTATTACCATTCGGTGAATTAATTGGAAATCAGCCATAAATTTGAAGGGCATAAGACACTGATCAGTCATAACATTGAAACCACTGACAGGTGATGTGAAAAACATTCATTATATCGTTACAATGTCACCTGGTGGGATATATTAGGCAGCAAGTGAACAGTCAGTTCTTGAATTTCATGTGTTGGAAGCAGGAAAAATAGGGAAGTGAAAAGATCTGAGTGACTTTAACCAAAGCCAAATAGTGATGGTTAGACGACTGGGTCAGAACATCTCCAGAATGGCAAGTCTTGTAGAGTGTTTCCGGTATGCAGTGGTTTAGTAACTACCAAAAGTGGTGCAAGGAAGGACAACCAGAGAACCATCACCTGGGTTATGGGCTCCCATGATTCATTGACGTAGGCATCAGTGAAGACTAGCCCATCTGGTCCAATCACACAGAAGAGCCACCATGGAGGCCCTACCTTGTATCTTGCTAATGTGCTAGATAACACAGGACAGTCCTTGCCTTGATGTATCAGAGCTGTTATGGCAGTTCGAGGGGGAGCCTACAAAATATTGGGCAGTTGGTTTTAATATTGTGACTCATCAGTGTAATCACTACAGCAACTTTACCTTAATGAAGTGGTGTTGGTGTATAGATCATGCTCCTGCAATCTCCATAGAGCAGCATTGAGGGCTGTACTATATATGCTCTGCAATCGGTGCCAGTAGCATTCTACTTTTTGAGATGCACCACAAGGCTTGTCTATTGGAACACCAGATTGCCTTCTGCAGCATCAAGATACCGAACGTGAAGACTTCAGTAGGAAGTGACTGGACAAACTTAAACCATGTAGTTTCTCACAAACTGCAATGCTTACGTTTGTCAGACTTCTAAGAACGCATCCACACCAAGATCACTACGACATTAAGCTGGAGGGATTTTGGTATTTACAGCGTCTCTTTAAATCATGGTGTAAAATATTGAGTTTAATTGAGAGAGTGCATTTGACAGATTATTAAGATGCATCCCTCATCAGCTCTTTGTCAATATGTTATTTTGTCTTCAGATCAGCAAAATTACAACGTGACTTTAGAGAATATCTTAACTCGATGCCTGGAGAATCAGAAGAAGTGGAACCGGCTGATGGAAGAGCGTAGTTGCTCGGATCATTGGGGTTCTTCGCTGCCTGTAGATGCCTTGATTAAGGAAAGCCCCCGTGGGGCTCCTCTGCTCTTTAGACCTTCCTCTGAGCGCCTCCTGAACTGCAACTCACTGGTGTTTCCTTGTATCTCTCACGCCTTGCAGTGGGCCACCCAGGGGAGAGATCAAGACTTACCATGCCCAGATATCAACCTCCTCCACCATCAGCCTGTGGCAAGCTCTGGGTCAGTGCTATTGAGAGAAGCTGCCCGTGTACAGATTCTTATTACAGGGAGTCTGCACCTTGTGGGAGGAGCCCTTAAAGTTCTCGACCAATCATTGTCCCAGTAACTGAGAGCGTACAGCTCACCATACTAATGGTAGTCCTCAATACTTTTTTTTTTTACTTGAAATGCAAGACTTTTGCCACCCTGGGCTTGTCTTAAATTTAATTGTTTGTCTGCCAGAGAATCTTACAACACATCTTTAGTTTCTTGCTTTCTTTTTGTTTTTTTCTTTGGACATGATGTGGTGTTAAAAGTCTCAAAACCTGAGATCTTTTGGGGTCTATGATGCATTTGCCTATATATAATTTTTGTTTGTGTTTCTTTTTTTTTTTTTTAACCATCTCTTTGAAATGACAGTCATTCTGCTCATCTAACGATAGATCTTGCTTGTACATAGGTTCTTAAAATCTAGGTCCTGCCATTTGTAAATTTAATTAATTTTTATTTCATTAATGAAACATATATTTATTTTTTATTTTTTATTTTTATAGGACTAACCTATGTATTGCTAACATCTGACCTTGTCTATACCTCAAATATTTCAATTTTTCCAGTTGATAAAGGAATGCGGGTCTCTCAACTCATTAGGGGGTCTCTCAACTCATTAGGAGCGAACGTATGGTGCTCAGAGTACACCTGCTTTCCTTATACTTGTGACCATACCATGTGCATGTACAGGCTGCAATGCTTATTCATGCTGACATTTTCTATGAGAAGCATTTGTTTTTTAGTAAATTTAAAGACTGTTACGTTTTTTCTTTGTGTTTTTTTTGTGTTTTTTTTTTTTTCTTTCAAAAAACCTTGGGCTGGATTTAGTAATTAAATGTTTGGTCTATAAATGTGTGATTGTCTTTTCTTCTGTTGGAGAGTTTTGAATGTGAAAATCAAATTCTTTTCCCACAAGCCAGGAATCTGTATAAAGACACACTGTTCTTGCAATTGTTCCTCAACAAGATGGAAAATGAAGAGTAACGTGGCGTTGCTTCGGACAAGGAAATGTTAGATTACCTTCCATTTTTCTACTATATTATGGGGACAACAAACACTATAAGCACTCTCCAAACACGTAGAGATCATTTCACACTAGTGGCAAGAATCCAAATTCTCTGTTTTTCTTCTTACAGCTTGTTTGTGTCCGTTTTCTGGATGTGTTTATTTTTTGCTACATCTTTTCAGGTCAAGCTAGCTAAATAAAATGACCGGACCAGTGATTAGTTGGTGTGCGCTAAACACTCAACTCAAATAGCGTTTTCTGGTTACATGGGATTTGTATCACCTTGAAATGCAAGTATTGATAGCTTGCAGCTTAAGTTCAGGTCTTCCTCTTGACAAACTTTGCTTAAAGGGACGCTGTAGGTAATGTAACGGATTAATCTTGTTAAAATAGTTATAGTATCTGGAATCTTCTGGTGCCATCTTTCCATTCAGTGTCAACCCATTTTTAATGTGGATTGGGAGCCACCAGCAGCTTATCCCCTCTGTGTTGCTTGGGCTAATGAGGAAGTATTAGCCTGAGCAGCAGTGGGTGACGGTGATAGGCTGCAAGCAGTCAGCTGAAACTCTTAGCCAATCAGAGCACCCATTGCTGGTATGAATGGGTATGGCCCTTAGGAAGTGTGTAATCTATACCTTAGCCACACCTCTGGTAGAGATCAGCAGGAGCTATTTACACTTGTTACAATTTTCATTCAGCTCTCTCCGCACAACATGTCAGAAAAAATTATCTGAGGAGACAGAAATAGTGATTCTTTCTCCCTAACTCCTCTTAAATTATCATTTGGAATACACCATGCATCTATGGCAGTGGTTCCTAAAAGGTAGATCACCAGATATTTTAAAACTACAGCTTCCATTACACTTTTTCATTCTAAAGGCATGCAAAGCATTATGGTATTTGTAATTCTACAGTATCTGGGACCTTTTGGGCAGCCTTGGTCTATGGTTTCAATTTACATTTGATAGATATGTCTGTAATGAAAACCTTGTAATGGTGTTTCAAAGCAGAGGTTTTGCCCTTAGGTTTAACAGAAGACACAAAACCGCACTTGCACTTTAAGAGGGTCAGTGTTCGCAGTTTGGCTGACACTCAGATTTGTAAAGATTTACACCGATAATGCACAATTGAAAATAATGCATTGTATCATGGCGGCTTCAATAGCAGCCTGGGAGAGTTGTTTTTAATTTTTTTTTTTTTTGTTAAAGCACTTGAAAACTATTTTAAGAAAAAGCATTGCACCTGTAGACTCCTTGTACCATAACCACTGATATGCTGTCATGATTATAGTTCTGAGACTGTCCCTTTAATGCCATAAACTAATGACTCCAAAGACAATCTGATCTATAATATTTGTGCAGTTTGGTCGTTAGGGTTAGAATATTATATGTGCACATGTTTTCCTCCTGTCCTTGGAGATTCGGTGCAAAATTCTGTTCTTTCCTGTATATAGTGCATTGTGAGGAAGCCCCAGGTTGGCCGTTTGCCCATCTCTAAGCACAGTCTGCACTCCACCTCCCGCTGGACTGTGCTAAACACTGGCTGCCTTGAATGAGCTGTGACCCTTACACATGGCGCCATGGGGACCTTCTTTGTTGTCAGGGAGCCTGCAGTGGAAAGTCAAATATATTTATTTAAAATTTCTTCTGTCTGACGAAGCTAGACATCTTGCTATGGTTACAGCTCTTCCTTGTATGCTTTTGGGGGTTATTACTTTTTCATCTGTTTCTTTTACCCCCTTTGGTTTTGTGTTCAGGTCTTCAAATACAGACGTGTTGTTTGTGGAATATTTTGTGCCCTAACACATGACTGTGTTTGTATGTGTCTGCTTCCCCCGTGCGGAAGGCTCTTGAGTCCTGGCCAAAGGTTTGATATGAAATCAAAGACAATTTTTATAAGTCTTAAAAGCTTTCCTTTTTAAATGAAATACAGAGCAACATTCAGTATCCTTGCAGACTTCCGCATAGAGTGGTGTGGGACCTTAAACTAGGTACTATTTAATAAAAATAATAATGAAATTTATAAACACGGACTGCTGCATCCGGTCGGAAGAGCTACCATCCGAAAAGGTATTTAAACATTTTTTTAAATCCCCATTAAAGACCTCAAACTGTAACTCTTGCATTGGCAAGCGTGGTTTCTGCTGCCGGTTGCCAAATATTTTGTTTGATCTATGAGATTACCTGCAAAAAAACAGGTGAATTTATTTTGCAACTGCTTCTCCTCCTCGAATGCATCACTTTGAGTGTAGTAGAAATTGGGTGTTTGAAAATATAACTATAGAAATCATGTACTCTCAAGGAAACTCAATAAAATGAGTTCTGGTGGCTATAGCATGTCCCTGTAGTCTTTTCATAGAAAAAGCATTATTTACATTGTTCCTTAATAGCACCTTTTAGGTGCCGTCACAAAGCGGCCCTTCCGTATGCAATGTTTGCAGGCCCTACATTCAGCGGCAACATGCCAAGCCTGGATTGAATCAATGCATTTCTATGGGAAGATGCTGATTGTCAAAGGGTGACTTTTTAATGCACATGTGCACCAGCCTCCCACTGCTTCCCTATGGGGAAGCGTTGAATTGGCTGGGATCATCGGCCTTGATGATCTCAGCAGGGGAGGCGGGGCAGCAGCACAGTGAAAGTTAAAAGGTAAGTAAATCTGTCTGTTTTTTGTTTTTTTTTCTCAGTTTACAGGGGTGGTAAACTAAACCGTGACTAGGGCACTATGATGATGTTAGGAATGCATGTTTGAACGCACCTAAAGAAATACCATACCTTTAGAGATAGGAAGTTTATTTAAATGCTTTTGCCGAAACACACAAACTGGAAATTAAGTTGACTTAAAGAATTTCTCAATTGTGGCTTAAATTTAAATTCACTGCAAATAAATTTCACTATATTGGCTTAAAAATTTAAATTCAATTTGAATGCCTGTGTACAGTTAATGAGGATTCAATCCAAAAGCTAAATTCTTTACAGCTCATGCCAGATTTGTGTGCATTTTATATACCTTCCAGTGTCTATTTCCCTTCCACTGTTCCCCTCCAGCCCCAAACCATGTGCAGGTTTGAGATATTAATATATAGTATTTGGGGGACATGCTGATTGGATAGAGCGGTCATCTGATGCTCTAAGTCAATTCATAAAGCCATTCATAAAAATGTTTTACTTTTTTTTATTTTTATTATTAATGATGAGCTACAGATTGGCTTAGAGTACCAGCTGACCGCTCTAGCCAATTAGCGGCGCCCCTGCCCGGCGGCACTCTGTGCTTCCTGAAACGCAGTTTCAGCAGCCAGATCCTGCTGATGGACCAGAAGATCCAGCAATGGAGAGTGTTCAATAATGTTTTCACCCCTTAAGACAATAGAGAACCCAAGGGCCTACTGGCACCATAACAATCATTTAGATTAAGTTGTTATGGTGAACAGAGTGTTCCTTTAAAAATGCCCAATATGTCTACATCTCAAATATTTAAAAAAAACAACACATTGAAAATGATATTTTTTTGTTTTTGTGCGTGGGGAAATGAAAGGGTCCAAAGTCTGCCGGCCAGGCCCAGGTTCTAAAGCCTCATGATTTGGTGTCCAGGACGAAGTGGAGGGATCACTTCACTTATCTTCTTGTTTGTCCATCCTGCTCCAATCTCCTCCTGACACTGTCTTCTCTCTTCCTTGACCTTTCTCTCTGTTTTGCTCCATTATTTTTCTCTCATTTCTTTTCAAATAGTTTTTATTAGGTATTTAATATTATAATATAAAAATGAAAATTAACAATAATAAATTAGGGAAGTATCCATCCGAATTTACAATATTTTTGTGCAATATTGATATGTCTATATCGATGATAAAATAATTCTAATATATTTATGTAAAACTAATAAAACAAGTTTGTACTTCTAATAACCTACAGTTTGAATATCTTGAATTATAAATAAGATTTTTTTTTATTTTTAATCCTTGTTTTCCCACTTTGTCCAGAAATCAAGCTGATCCCATAATAAAGATGGCTGCCTAATGGCAATCTCATACAATTTATTTTCTAATACTAACTTTAGTACATACTTTTCTCTCTTTTCTCCTTTCGGGTGCTTTTGCTTTTAGCTCCTTCTCTCCTTCTAAGCACCGCAGACGAGGGACTGAATGGAGGGGGTGATGTTGAGGCGTGACGTCACCATGCAGCATGCTCTCTGGCTAGCAATCGGCCCAATCCGTGTAACAAGACACCGCCTGGATGAAGGGAAGAGGCAGGGAGGGGTCTGCAGTCTGCCGCATTCATTTTGATATAACTGGCATTTTAGGAGCCACCAGCACTCTGATTTAGTTTGGGCGACGGCAAGACCACTGTTAGTATAAAAAACAACGGGACATTTATGTGTCCCGAGAACGTTTCTCGGGACACTTAACACAAAATCAGGACAATCCAGGTAAAACCAGAACGTCTGGTCACCCTGCTCATAGGCACCATTAAAGAATCCCTGGTCCACCCAGCCAGTGGCGTCGCTAGGGGGGGACCATGGCCCCCCCACATCATGCTGTGCCCCCCTTTGGGCCCCCCCAAATGCCAGCAACTTGCTGGCCATGTTCTTAAATTCTATTCCCTCGGACTGTAACAGTCTGTTACAGCCCGAGGGAATGCAGGACTGAGGTGATGGGGGCTGTCTGTGGCTGGAGGGAGCACTGACAGACTCCTTGACACAGGCCCCGTCCCCAAATGAAGCCCCACCTCCTGCACATAAGACCTGCCCCCGAGCATGCTGCTGCTAGAAAGGATGGAAGATGGCTGTCTGACCCCCAGCAACAGCCTCCAGTGACAGGTAGGCTTAATGTGCTTGTGTGTGTGTCTC